CCTCACTTAGGGACAGAAGGAGGGGCTACTTGCTCCAGCTTTTGAATTCTGTTGATCCCAGCCAGCAGATGCTGATGCTGTGGGAAATCATCGTCTAGATATTTTTTTTGCATCAATCCCATCTGCTAATGAAAATAATATAAGCAAGCCGGGCAAATTTCAAGTTCACTAAAAATAATCCTTTTTTGGCATGAAAATCTCCACAAAAACTTTTTTGTTGTTTTTATCCATGACTTTTTGGCCGGAAATAGTGTAAAGCTACTGTTATCACATGTCAATGCTCAAGATCTTTTTTCATCAGTACAAAATAATTATGCCCAACATGGCTCTTTTCTGAGTTCGAATACTTTGATATTCTAAGCTTCGTTTTCATGCTGTGATAAGTAATTTGATACTTGGATATATACAAGTTTTCTCTGTTTGGCTGATAACAATAAAAACTGCTTCTGCCATTTTGAACTTCTTTGAGCAAAAAAACCAAATAATTGGAGTGCCTCACTTCTTTGATATCAAAAAGTACAAAAATTTGTCTACGGACTGTAGGAGCCGCAAAAGCGATCAAAATTACTTGTTGACCAACCTAACAATATTGACGACCTTACTACGCTTTGAAAGTGAACTAGCGCAGGTATCATATCATTGGCCTAAAATTCTTACAAACGCTGAACTGTTATTCTGGACTGATTCCTGAACACTGGACTTTTAAGTTATTGTTAGACCGGGTTCCATCAACAATCGCGCGTAGAAAATGCCGTGGAGCACCTTTTCATTTGCAACCCATACCCATTTTTCGACCCGCAAGTTTTATCATGCATGAGCAATATACTTGCACTTCCTGTAGATATTTATAGTGCATCTTACAAGTACCAAAGTGATTTAAAAGTGTATTGCACGACTGTAATCAATCTAAAACGACACATTTGATTTAGGATTAGAAATGTTGTATTATTCGTCTGTTCCGCTGGTGGATTATTCTTCATGAAATCTTCAATATCAAACTAGAAATTGCTCAATCTGCAGTCAAAAAAATTAGATTGCCTTTATGCTAAGTGAATGCTCAAATTATGCATGAAATTTTCAACTGATTAGAAAATGCTTATTACTGATACCGAGACGATTCGCAACATTTAACACACTTTTGATTAAGAAGTAAAGAGACCTTCATAAGAGTAAATTCTGTGCCCTTATATTGGAATCTGATCAGTAAAGAAGTATATTTCTTGGTTTCACGCCAAATGAAGGATTCTGAATGTTTTTTTTTTCGAATCTTCCTGAGAGTTTTAGCTAGTACTAGTAACTGTGAATTAGAACATAGACTCAATTCTTCTTATTGAGTGCTCTGTCTAGGTGTGAGTTTGAATTGTCGAACTCCAAGTTTTATAAATTTCACTGGTGATGTAAAATATGCTTTGTATTATGAATTCAATGAAAAAGCTCATTGTGACCGGCTCAAAGTATTATTATAACCATTCGCAACCAATTGCGCTGCTCTTCCGACCACCGCTTGCAAACTTGACTCTGCAAACATTTTTTTTTTTTGTAGACGAGATAGAGATCATCCGTGCCGTCTATTATACATACATTCTTTAGCGTTCAAAAGTGACAAGATCCTTATCGCATTACGTTCCGATCTCTTTAGCGCTAGCATTCATCACCTACAGCTTAGTGTGCGAAATTCAGTGTGTATACCTCTCCTTTTTTAAACGAAAAAAAAAAGAAATCTCAACCTTTCACTCTCTATAACCCTTCATGATAGAATGCTCCATAATGAAAGCAGTTGTGCTCATTATGACGATTAATTGACATTTTGCATCACCGCACCGCAATCTGTCTATTAGGTTGGCACATAAGTGATGCAACTTTTTGCATAACTTTTGTCTTTTTGAACATAGCGCATTCATTTTTTGGTGACGTAAAGATGATGTAAACTGCAAATGAAGACATTTTTGCCGAATTTTGCCACCTTATGTAAGAGTTACGGTAGGTTTAGGTATACTGAAAAAATTTTGAATTGCGTCAAATTTTGCTGAAGCTTGACCTATGGGTGTTATTCGACATGCTGGTTATAAAACGAGACCCCTTTCGAAAAGGCTCCTTTCGTAAGGTCAAGAAATGAATTTCACCTTAGCACATGAGTATGATATTCGTCGTATTAGATTACCCTATTGTGGGAAGTTTTAGCGAATTCTGAGGTTTCGCAGCTTAGTTATTGACATATTGCCCTCTAAACTTGACGCATTTTGCTTGTTCCACTTCTCAAAGGCACCTTACTTTAAATTTGATTTTCATTCCTTTTTTACTGATACTGATGTGTTAACTTCTAGCTACATGGTGCCTGTAATTTCTTTTTGATATGTTTGATTCAGGTTTTGTACGGCTTCATGTTTAACCAAAGAACCGTGAAAGAATGCTTAAATTTTCTCCACTACGTTATCATAAATCAAACGGTTTGCGCAGACTTGCAGCTTACATCACATTCTACATGATATCAGAAAATGCGAGTGCTACAATGGGTAAGAAAAAAGTTATGGGAAAAGCTGCAAAACTTATGTCCCTAATACATAGGGTGTCCCAAAAAAATGTGAACACTGTTTGATCGTTAATAACTCTGTTGCTTTCGTGTCTTTCGCCGAGCTCGAGGCACCATTCTGTAGAGCGAGGTTCAACTTAGATTTGTAGTGTGGAGCAAATCACCGGTAGGTGTTCGTTACTGTAGGATTACGGTATGAACTTCTAGCATGTGGATCTATTGTGAAATATGCCATTTGACAAAATTTTTCTCAAAAAATCTGAAAAATCGTGTACTAGGATTTTCGCGCACGCTGATTCCATTACACACTTTTTATAAGTGTTTTTAGCTTTTTTGACGGTGTAATCACCTTTCTGACACATGCTGGAAATTCAGTTATTACGATTTACCTGGGATAACCTTGGAAAAAAGCATCACAGTAAAGTGGAAATTTCATATTCACAATCAGCGGCTTCCAATACCATAGTATAAGAATTTCTGGGCCTGCTTGGTTTTGTTTCGAAGCGGAATATGGCCTCCAGTGGCCTAGAATCTTTGTCAAAATTGCTACCGTAATCCTACAGTAATGAAGGCGATCGATGATTCGCTCCATACTGTATATCTAAGTTGAGCCTCGCTCTATAAAATGGTGCCTCAAGCTCGGCGAAAAACATGAAAGCAAGGGAGTTAGCAACGATCAAACTGTGTTACATTTTTTTGGGACACCCTGTATATATAGTAGAAATAGCAGTTGGGCGAATTTCTTATAAATGACTGAAACAAAACATAAAGCCTGCGAGAAAAGGTAATTAATTTGGTGGCCGAATATATGCATTCTTTCGCTGCGAATACCAAGTTGCTATCGTACTCTTACCGCAACCCGACACTTTACGATAGCTGAGAATAATTGGGTGTCTCGTAGAGCTGAGCTTCTTTTTGTTGCAGAAAAATTTCTACTTCAAAGGAGATGCAGAGCGTGACGGTTAAAAAAGGGTTTTCTCGAAGAGACATTTGTGTAAACTTGTCTACTTTGCAGCAGAGACAGGCGTTACGATTCTTCGCCCAACAAAATGCTAATTTCTGTAACATCCTCTTCGGTATCGCTTACGTACAACTTTCGTCTGTTGTGAAATTCGCCAAACAAAAAGTGCACGAATTTTGCGCGGATGCACTTTGTTTGTAGCCAGAACGGGTTCTCTTTTTACGGAAGGACATGTCTGGTGAATACGAATTATCTAGCGAATCTCTGCCAAAATTTTGCACAAAAGGTGCAAACGCGGGTCGCGCACTTGCATCATGTCCGATCTGAATGCGAGCTTCGCTTCCAAGATACCTCTCGAAGGCGTTCATATCCTCCTTTTATTCTCGAGACCATTTGCAAAGTCTTCTTGATACACATTTTGTAAAGTTTCTGCTATTTCTCTTATCTGCCGCCGCCTTCCTTCACCTATACCATCGCCGTTCTCCCGAATCAACATCTTGTGGGAAATCACTGCATTCGAATATTTATTGGTCAAGTTCTATTTGTAATTATGGTTGTAGAAATTATGTACTCTTTTTAACTGTGTGAAATTTGAAGTAACTGGATGATTCTACTAATAGTTGTGATTTTCTACTTCTATTTCAACATTTCGATTTCAACTCGAATAAAATTTCTGATATTGAAAGTCAAACAGAGCACTTATCGTAGGTTTCACTGTAAAATATGCCTTGAAACTAGTTTCAAACATTATTTAGGTGAATTTTTAGCACTCCTGATCGATAAGCTTAATCTTCAGAGCTTCCAAACAGAATGGAAAAGTCAGTATTCATTTTTACTGTCGAAAATGGGAGAGGATGTACATCAGAACTCGTTTGTAAAAACTACATCGCCATCATATCGCACTTCTGAGCAGTCTATTTGCAGAATGACGTCATTGTTGGAAATCATCAGTAAAATATCTGAATAAGTTGTAGCATTTAGGGGCAATTAGATGAAAAAAGGGGCTTCTACCATATGGCTAGAAATGCGAATAACACGAAAATGAGACTCTCTTCACATAGTTGACCCTCACGCTACTTCTACAATACATAATGCTCAAGTGGACACACCACTATATTCCACTCGATTTTTATAACTTTTTCAGAACTCTTCTGTCCACCACTGTTTGCCAAATGCCAAAGAAAGCGACTTTGATTGATTTTCTAACTCTTAGTTGAAGCATCCATATTTTTGTACGTGTGGTCTCTCCGTTTTGAGGAATACTCCTACAGGTGATAATAAACTTTTTGCAAGCCCACAAGTCGTTAAGTGGGAAGATATACCTAATACGTACATGTATTCTCCAAAGCAGGGAGTTCAAGAAATGTTTATTTCTTCAGATCTTCGTTTAAATTGAAATACTCATTTTATCATCTGTCATTTGATTCGAACTATACTCCATCTCTGCGTTTTTTTAGCCCGTCCTATGTTTCATAGTATGTTGATGTCTCTTGAAAAAATTGTTCCAGGATGAAAGCGAAGGACTTGCCCTACCTCCGCCTCAACGGAAAGGTCATTCGAGACGTAAGTTCTTTTTCCGTTGTTCTTTCTACACAATAGGTACATTTCTTAGGTACCTACACGATAACTCTCCCTCGCTATGTATTATGTAGTACTCATTCCAGACTATCCTCCTCTTTTCAATTCTATGTATTTTCCATCTATTTGTCAAAACTCAAAGAGGGCTACCGCCATAGATCATCTTCAGCTATGCGGCTACCCTGACAGCTTTTCTTGGCTGAAACTTTGATGCAATGTAGAAAGTGCAGACAAATTTTCCGCACGTTTGGGACCACTAACAAAATTACAAGCGACAATGCAGCAGTGAATGTGGCTTTAACCAATTTATCTGAAAATGCAAAACCCCATGTTTGCTCTTGCAGAAGAAGGATTTTCCTGTATCGGATTCTACCTCACTTAGGAGCCTTGACTACTTGTACGCCAGGAAGATTTGGCTGACGTTATTTATTAGGTCGTAAGATAGGTTATCACTTGAAGGAAAAAATATCTATAACTTTCAATTTTCACTCAGCCCCGAATTGAGCTGATGGTTGTATCTCCTTAATATATAAATGTCACATGAAAAAATCCGATCTTGAATTTTTTTTCAAATTCTTCTGAATTATTTTTTGCGAATTTCGAACGCGTTATTGCAATTAGTATGTATCCCCAGAAATCCACAAAGATTTTGAGAGCATAAAAAATAACAATAAGAGAATGAGTAAACAGCAAAAAAAGTGAAGATTCAAGTGCCGTCGCAAATCACATTGCCTTTTTTTACACTAATGTATGTTTGTAAAGGTAGAAGTAATGCCAATAGATAGTATTAGGTTGTAACAAAATTAATGCAGGTTTTGAATTCCAACCGCAATAAGTCATACACTTCTCATTTCTAACTAGGTTGCAAAGTACCATTCGATAGAGCAAAGCAAGCTCTACAAGAAGGCTATCTTGCTTTAGCAACAACTCTAATCTACCACGAGTTTCGATCCAAAAACTAAAAAGATTTAACTGTCCGAAAAATCGAGAAAAATCGTAACTCAGTTCTTAAAAAACCTACGAAATTTCTAACTTGCTCACGTAAGCACTATTCACATAAGATATCTATATACGCCTTTGCCGTATTTTTTTTTCTGTTAGAAATCAAGAAAACGAAAATTTTCGGGCGTTTGTCAAAGTGATGCTGTGCCGTTCCCACATACCTAGTCGTATACTACAAACCTGTAGAAGTATAAACGTGAATTTCCAGCTTTCTACAAGCTTTGATTCTCGAAAAATATCGAATACAGTTTTCGCTAGTCATGTGGTCCAAGCTAAAATTCAAATTTCTCGAGAACTAAAGCGTAGAGAGCTGAAAATTTACGTTTGTACTTCTACAGATTTGCAGTATACAATTACTTATGTGGGAACGGCACAGCAACACTTTGGCAAATGCAGGAAAATTTCCGTTTACTTGATTTCTAACAGAGAAAAAAATGCGGCAAAGGCGTATATAGATGTCTTATGCGAATAGTGTTTACGTGAGCAAGTTAGAATTTTTGTAGGTATTTATGAACTAAGTTACGATTTTTCTCAATTTTTCAGTTGAATCTTTTTAGTTTTTGGCTCGAAACTCGTGGTGGATTAGAGTTGTTGTTAAAGCAAAATGGCCTTCTTGTAGAGCTTGCTTTGCTCTATCGAATGGTACTTTGCAACCTAGTTAGAAATAAGAAGTGTATGACTTATTGCGGTTGGAATTCAAAACCTGCATTAATTTTGTTACAACCTAATACTTTGTCTATTGTTCATACGCGCTCAATATCAAACTTTGCTAGAGTTTCTAGCGTTTTTTGTAGAAAGGTGAAAGTATGTCATAAAAGCTATCTTGTTTTTTTTGTCGAAGAACACAGCTAACAGAAGTTTTTGTTTTGTAAACGCGCCATTTTTTTATTTTGAAACCTTCTATTTTTTTTCATGGTTATTCATTCATTAGAAAGAATTTAGGTTCTAATTAATAAGCAATTTTGTGATTACTGACCTTGTTGGTAGTGACCCGTTCATACTGGGCGGAATACTCACTTCAATGAAAAGAAACGAATATTGGAACGAAAAAAACGCCAAGAAAATTCGATAGAAGCTGACAGATTGGATCTTTGAGGATTTACTGCCATTATTAATTATCGCAGTCAAGATGCGGCAACAAAAAAGCTCAGGTTATTTATTAGTAATACCAAGTAATCATTTCTCAAAATGCTAACAAATATCATATTTATCAATGAGTCTCTTCTGAGAACCGTAGAACCGAGATAGTAGAAGTAAAGGTTCAATAAGTTCATCACATAGCCTTTAACCGAACTCTCTTCCATTTTTTGTTGCTCAAATGTGACAGTTTCATAAGGTCCTAAGCATGGGTCAAAATCGATATTGAAGAATTCAGCTACATGTTTCTCAAATGAAAACCTAGGAACAATTTTGCCAATTCTTGACATCGCGTACGGATTACAAAGGAAACGTCACAACTCAAGCCACACTTGATAAGACCCATTCGCTCAAATTTCACATCTTTTGCTTGATTCACTCCTCCCACATGAACTGAACATCCAAAATGATTCAGTGCAGCACCCACGCAAGAAACGAGTCATCTCTACTTTGGGAAAAACATTGACAAGGATTGCTGCGAATCCTATTTGACGTAAAATAAAGCAAAAGTGAGACTTCTATGGGCCGGATATCCTTGGAGAATAATGATAATTCGAATTAATCGCCTTTTATTCAAGAAAAAAGAACGGTATTTGTCCCGCTCTATTGATTAAGTAGCCTATAAAAACTTATAGAAGAGAAGGTAGTTGTAAAATAGTGGAGAATTTCACCCATGTCATTCATTCTGTGAGTAAATTAGTATTCGTTTGTAGGGGAAAATATAATACTATTAGGTTGTACCGAAAGTTCTGTCGTTTCATTTCTGAAAATTTGTAACTTTGCGCTGTTTCAACGGATTTGCTTGCCTGTAATTTTATTACAAAGAATAAGTCTTTCTCTTTCATACGCTGTTTTACGGAGCTTCTTTTTCGTACTGGGTGCGGAGATAAAAATGGAAAATTAAGACCATGTAAACTTTGACCATTTTAAGTTAGATCATTAAAAATCTGGAATGCTGCAGAAAAATCTGAAATCGTCAGTACACATGTTTTTCGACCTACACTTTGCATCTTGAAAAATTTGTGCTGTTTGGACGTCTCTGTGAGAAGTTATGATTTTCGCGAAAATTGACAAATTAATTAATTTTGGCCTTTTCCACAGTAAACTCGATATTCATAACTTCTCACAGAGACGTCCAAACAGCACAAATTTTTCACAGATGCAAAGGGTAGGTCAAAAAACATATGTACTGATGATTTCAGATTTTTCTGCAGCATTCCAGATTTTTGGTGACCTCACTTAAAATGGTCAAAGTTTACATGGTCTTAGTTTTCCATTTTTATCTCCGCACCCAATGAGAAACAGAAGCTCCGCAAAACAGCGTATGAAAGAGAAAGACTTATTTTTTCTAATAAAATTACAGGCAAGCAAATCCGTTGAAACAGCGTAAAGTTACAAATTTTCAGAAATGAAACAGAACTTTCGGTACAACCTAATATTAGGGTGTCTCATAATTTCTTACCGTTTTTACTGCAAACATCTCTCGAGAACTGGGACACTTACAAAGGATACAAATACATGACCATACTTCTATATGTATAGGCCATATGATCACATGCGTGGGAGGAGCACAAGACGTGTAGGGGCGGAGTTTGCCATTTTACCTCACCCATTTTCTTTATTTCTAGCCATGGAACAAATTCGGAAAGTGTGCAATCGAAGGTGCGATGTATCAAGCATATGCTAGAATAAATGGGGAATTTTTTTAGATTCTTTGGGGCGGAGATATGATTTTTGGAAAAGTTCGTTTTCGACTACTATCAGATTTCAGCTTAAAGCTTCACGTGGGATAGCCACAAATGTGCCTGATTTGGGCAGACTTTGATAGCCATCTTGTGGAGCTTGCAAAGCAAGCCCTGTCGAATGATTACTTAAGCAACATCAGATGAAGGAAAGATACAAAAAGACGGTGGTTGTACTAAAAACGGTAAAAACTTATGAGACACTCTGATATATTTTTGAGACCAAATACAGGGAAGACGAAAAAATGAATAGGAGATGGCATATGAACGTCCCTTGTTTTGAATTTTGACTTAATCAACAAAAGAACCTAGAAATTTTTCGAATCATGTATTTGCATAATGAAATTTCCCAATATGCAGGAAAAAACGATGATTTCCATTTGCAAACATTACTTCTTTTCGCGTTGCACTTAAAGAGATTTCTGGGCAACTGAAGTGTGTACTCACAATGAAGTGGGCCACTCATTTCAATTCATAGTTTTTTTTCCAAACCATCGACCATTGTGCGCCAACAATGAATTTGATGGACGTTAAGCGGGCGATGGGATTGAACTCTGACCCATGATAATAGCATCGGCTCCCGCTAAAAACCTATGCCAGCAATTATTCGTGATCTCCACGCAAAAATTCATTGTTCTGCAATTGCAACAAATGTGTGTTTCTATCTGGTATAAAGAAATGAAGCCCAAACCATAGGATATTAGTACAAATAGGATTACCAATATTTATTGGGGATAGGCTACAGTCTGAGCAATTTTAAGCCAACAAAACGGCAGTGAACGCAGAAAATGACGAAATGTGCATTTACACCCAAACTCCCCAAGTCTCTTATTCCAGCATAATCAGTTAAATTGAGACTCTTTTGGGTAGAAAGCACTAATAAAGACTGATAATTTAGCACTAAAATTCGGTGTAGATGTTAATTCGGGCAACACTGGATCAACAAAACGCCATTTGTGGATTCAGCAACGATTCAGGTGCTGCAGTCTTTGCTCTAAAGCCACTGTGCGTAAAAACACTTTTTTAATTATTCTACGATATCACCACCAGCTGGGGCCTAAATGACCCACCAAGGGTGTCAAAATCGAATCTTCTGGTCAAAATAGCCGAAATGCTAAGGGAAGACGTCGTTCAGGGTGGGGGTCGTGAGTGCAGACGGTCGCGTAGAGAGCACGCGGACGGCGGAGTGCGCTAGACATCGGCCGGCGGTCGGATCAATGACTCGCTGAAGGCTCGTGCTCTCTCGTCGTCGTCGCCGCGGCTTCTCCCCCGACTTTTGCAGGCTAACCGAGGTGGACGGGGCTTTTCTTATTTCTTTTACGTTTTGCGCCTAATTTTCTTATTTTGGCCTTTCTCATGTCAGGCGTATGCGCAGTTTTAGCGTTTTTGACTGTTTTCTTCTCAGTGCGGGATATACTTCGTATTTTGGTTTGTTTTCTCGTTTCGAATGGATGCAATCAGAACAAACACTCATAATCGGCAGCGCTGTTTCTCTTATTCAAACCTAGTTCTCCGTACTTTTGTATGCGTTTTTCAGTTTTCAAACTTCATCCATTTTTTCTTGTAATGTTGCTAACCTGCTGCGAGTGTGTAAACATTCTGAGTCAATGGTGGTCCTGATCGTTGGAAGCACTTTTTAATGAGTTGTATGTCTTATAACTCATTAAAAAGTGCAGTTTTCAAAAGTTGTTCTTGCGTCATTTTTCGTTCAAGATTTTTACGCAAAAAAGCCATTTATTTCTGACTTGACCCATTCTTTCATTTTCCTGGCAGTGTTTTTTCTCTGACTGTTTCTCTTCTTCTCCGACAACTTTCTCGTACGACATAAACTTTTATTCTCACGTCTTGTACAATATCGATTGCGATTTTGTTGTACGGAAATACGAATGGCGCTGTTTGAAGCAATCGAGTGATTCTGTTTTTTTAGGAAGGCTTCTTAATTACTTTTCTTATCAGTTTCTTGGATTACAGTGATCAGACTCTTGATTTTTTCACCTCAGATTTTCCTCCTGCATTTCTTATTTAAGGATTTACATTTTGAAAAGTTGATCACTCTTTCATGGGGGAATTACTGCCTTTATTTCTGGAGATACCACTTTTCGATTATATTTTTCGCTAATTCAAGGTCTTGTTTTCTTAGAAGTCCAATAATTACTGAATATGGTCCAAACACATATAAAAATGACTCGATTATGCTTTTTGAAGGCCCACAAAATCAATATCTCTTTCTTGCTTACTACCTCTTTCGTCTACCCCTGCGAACCTCTATCTGCTTCAGCGTGAATAGGCACAAGTAGCGAAATGTTTCCATTTATCGCTGTCGCGTGCGACTGTCATAAATTATGACTGAATTACGTCGTGTGGATCTTTTTGAACCTGTATGTCATGAAATCTCCCACACTTATCTTCCGTTTTTTATCGATCCATTTGATTTTCGAAGATTGTCACAGTGCATTTTGTCAAGATAGTGCAAAAAGTTGGAATGGAATGGCGACATTTTTCGGAACGTGTCTGGGTGAAATCTCGCATAAAATACTGGGAAGGTTGTGTTTTTTCGTACTGTAGGTATACGGTGGCGTATAAATTCTAAACTGTATAGATATAGTGGGACCGTTTCCTATGCAAGACTTTGGTACGCTCGTTATGCGTGCAAGCAAACCAGACTACCATTTGGTAAATAATTAATTGTTAATAAATTGCTGATTGTACTCGGCATGCTAAGTAAGCCCGTCGTTATAGTGTCCATGGATTTCATCCCCTACCATACACCTACCGTAACTTGATGACAACTTTTACTGCATGGAATAGGCATGATGCGTATGTTTTGCTTGATTTTAAGGAAATTGCTTGTTAGGAATGCTCGAACGTAGTTAGCTCAAAGCCTCTTCCGTTTCATTTCAGTTTAGAAACATTTTCTCATAGTGTTTCACCCGCAAAAACGTATAAAAAAACTAATCCTTATTTGTGCTAGACGCGCTTTCTATTCGCTCCTCTGTGTTCTATTCTTTCAAGAGCTTTCCAGTGATTGTTCAGTGAGGCCTCTTATCTAAAGAAGAGTTTCGGACCATGAAAGGAATTTTATTTGTCTCCAGTGTGTTATTGCCGACACGTGAACATCATTGTTGCCATGGCTGCACTTTTGTGTACAGATGCAAAAATGTATGCGGTGCATAAATAATGGGTGCACTTGTCCAAAAAATGTACTTTGGTATTGACTATACGTTGCGTGAGCAGTAGCTTCCTCGAACAATGTTTTTGCCTAGGGAAAAATTGCAGTCTTATTAGTATCTCCTGATAAGGAAGGTAAATACTTCCGGTGACGGTGTCACCCTACAGCATGCGTTGTGTCGTTCATTTGTTCTTTCATCGCGTAGGAGTTCTACTTTCGTTCTGTTCTGGTATTCAGCAATACCGCTGTCCATGCTTTTTGTGGATCGCGTAATGGACTCACTTAATCCCCACTTAATTCTTTGCATTCATTGGTGCATAAAGAATGCTAAAAAAAGCTAGAACGAACTACGTTGTTTTGTAAAAGTGCGGTTTTCTGTGTGATCAGAAAATGACATACCCTGGCTATCAGATAGTTTCTGCTTGAAATGGCTATCACTAATTACGTTGTCATCTGAAGTCTTCTGGAGATGTGGGTCGGTCTGTACCTTACAGGTTTTTTTTACCAAGCGCTCAAGAATAACCTTTGTCCCTCAGTGCTGGACCAGATGGTCATTCTTTCTAGTCCGTACTGAGGGACAAAGGTTTTTTTATTATGTGTGTTTGTTTATGATGTAGGTATGTTTGCCACGATAATGCAATGAAAAGTCATGGTTTTTGCCTTTCTTTCAGCCTCAGACGATGAAATGACGCTATGATATTGAACCATTTTTACGGTCCTTTTTTGGATTAAAAAAAGCTTATTGCTGATATAAACTATCACGAGACATTTATCAAACTTACGAAAACATCGAAGCATAAACGGCACGTGATGTACGCAGTGGAATAGTCATTGAAAAAAATAGTCGTTGTGCTTTCCTTCAGTGCGCCCAAAATGAAGTTTTGATTTTGAATTGACAGTTTGATTACCTATTTGATTTCCAACTGACTGACATGAAGATACTTAAGTTGAGTCCATCGGTCCTTGATTAACGCATTGTTTTGAAACCTCTTTAATCCCTTTTATCTTTTTTATTCATTGTGCATTTGTTATGAATTTTCTATATACAAAACTACTTGAAATATTCAGGAACCACCCGTCTGGCCTTCGTTGGGAGAACGGCCAGCCCTTCGAAAGTTGGGGAGTGTGAGCTGTGAAGTTTTGGCCTTGTCTGACGACGAAGAAGACATGCATATTCTTCATACTGATGGCACAACAAGACCGTATGTCAACCTTCCACGGCGTGAGTTTCACTATTCGGCTACTTTTCACCTGCGGTAGTTTTTCGTATGACTTCAAAATTCATTTTTCAGTACCACTTCATTCCGCTTCCCCTTCGACAGACTCCGACGACAACTGCAAAAAGTCGGCTAGAAAAAGCAGTGAGGTACCCTCCACTGAGTTAGAAAGCGAGACAGATACTACAGATAATGAAGGTAATTTATTATGCTTATAGTATGACGCTGCAAATTGTTGTTTCAAATGGAAATTGGTATGTTTTGTCTCTCTTCTAACTATTACAGCAGAATGTAGTTTCTTCATATGCTTAATACCAAAATGAGAAAGCTGTGTTTTTCTCCTTTTTATATTTTTATAAATTAGTTACGTTATGCTTTTTCTTTTCGATTTTTTCGATCGAGTCGTAGAAAATTTTTTCAGTTACCTTCCGCGATAGGGAGCAGAGCACCAGTGGTCGCGAAGCCGAACCGTACCAAGTATGTGTAGGCTTCATTTGTGTTCCTTTGCTTCTTCGATATTTTACTAATGCTTGCATAAATGTCGGCGATTTGTGTATTTACGTCATTATCCTTTTTTTTTCAAGGTGTTCGAGATTTTGTACAATTATGAAGCTAAGAAAAGCGACGAACTGAACCTGAAGGCGGGCAGCACGATCAAGCTTATTCGCAAAACGTAAGGCAGTTACATCCTCTAAATAAATGGCATCAGAAAGTTACTGCAGGGGTGAAATTTCCTGGTTTTATGGAGAATGTGAAGACGGAACGCGAGGCTTATTTCCAGGCAACTATGTCAAGCTGTTAGGTAGGTTTTCATATACTTTGAGGAGTGACCTAATGGTTTTGAGCTCAGGATCTGACGCGAAATCAATATCTGCTGAAGAGATCAGCGAGCCCTCAACTGGAAGTAGGCTCATAGGCAGAGGAGCTTGCGCTGAAGTTTATAAAGTCGTTTTTGAAGGAGAGGTGGAGTTCTTTGGTCTAATCATTTTTCCTGTTATCACAACATCGTATCTAGTTCGTGGCTTTGAAGCGATTACGAGGAGAACCCAAGCCTTCAGACATCGAAGGTAAATTCTTACCAAGTAATGGAATTTTCCACCCTTTTAACACGTCTCATCTTGCAATTTTCTTTTTTTTTTCTTGTGTTGAAGTACTCTTGTCCTCCCTTCATTTGAAGTCCGATTTCAAAAGCTGAAGAAACTTTTTTATGACTTGCAAAATACCCCTTAATATTCCTCCTTTTTCCTTCATTACTTTTTCTCGTACCTTCGCTTTTAGCGCTCAAGCGAGAAGCAGTGATGATCAACAGATTCCGACACCCAAATATTGTTAATCTGCTCGGTGTGTGCTTGGAGCAGCCTCGTATCGGCTTGGTTCTGGAGCTTTGCGAAGGTACCGTTCTCTTATCGAGGCTTTTCAATCTGAGCTGTTGCACCGCAGTCGGAATGCAGCAAATAAATTGCAGAACTCTCTTTGCTGCAGTTCGTTTCTTATTTTTTTGGCGATCCTGCTAACTATTGGCGAAGTGTTTATGCTAACAACTATTTTCGAGTCATAGTTAGCATACTTATCTCCCGCATCAAACATAGAACACGTTTCTTTTTCAATAATTTTTGACGACTGTAAAAAAGGCTATGACCCTGAGATGCTTGGAGTAGACTGATGGAGCAATTGTGCTTTGGATTCACAAGCATTGGCTGGGGCGTTTGTTTAGCTTAGTGCTGCCACCTGTTGTCGTTAATGTACGGCTCCTGTTTCGTAGTCCCCGTGGAGCAGGTTTTACAATAGCGCTGAAACAATGTCTAGCGAGAAGAAGCGCAGTCCAAATCTATCGTGGTCATAACGTTTCAATTCGCTAAAGGCGATACGATGTTCCCCGTAAAGTTACAGTCACCAGTGTTGATTATGTTCGTCATGGTGCCGGAGGCTCCATGATGAAATGGTTCTCTACATTTTGAGCTCTTGAATGAAATCGCATCCTGCAAAAAGACAAAAGTAGTGTCTTCTCGCTTTGTCATTGTTAGAGCTTGGGGCACTCAACTTTTTGGGGTGGAGGACATTAGGTCGCCGAATTTGAAAGAGTCCCGCGCGGATTCCCTGCAGGAACGCATGCCCGCGCATGTATAAGGGTGCGTATTTGTCGCAAATGACCGCGGGGACCGCCCTTTTTCGGCGACCTAATGTCCTCCACCCAACTTTTTGAAGTCAGAAAGTCTCTTTCGAGCACCAGTTGGGAATTGCTGCTGAGGACATTAATTTTTTTTATAATTTTGTGGTCTGCATCACAACATGCAATCAGCTGATGAGATGAGATGTCATGAGATGTCTGTTATGATTTGCTTTCAATAATTTTCTGTTAGCAGTAGTTTTACGGAAATTTGTTTAGGAGGCTCTTTGAAAGTGCTATGCGGAAAACTTAGGAACTCCTTTGTATCTGTAAGGATAATCGTGGATTGGGCTTGTCAGATCGCTCAAGCTATGCAATGTCTTGTAGCTGAAAATCTTATGCACAGAGACCTCAAAGCCGACAATGGTAAGTTTTTATTTGATTTCCATTAGTACTTCTTATTAATGCGCACATTCACTACTCACTTCCTTTTGCAATTCTTGATAGAAGCACCTTACGATTTTCTCCTCACAACATTTTTTTCCCATTTTGAAACTTATGAACTACTGCTGGGACATATTGCTAGTGTAATAGTTTCTTCGAGGAAAAAGTTTTGCAACTTAGTAAAATGCCATTTACCTTGTCTCTGACATCGCGCAAAGAAATTTATCAGTTATGTCGATGGTCAAAGCCACATTATTTGTTTGGAAAATCGAGTTATCGTTTGTTTCACGCACCATCAATCTTCTTCTTCTTTTATAGTGTTGGTGAAGGAAGAGGTATGTCTGTGCAATGTTACTCCGTGTACGCCAACATATGCAGCACAATCTATTCATTTGCATAATGGAATCCAGGTATCTAAGATGTAACTTCTCTGCAAGTCTTTATAATAATGGATTTGTTTCTGAATTCCTTTTACTGCAATAACGAAAGTTTTATTTCTGAGTTCCTTTTACTGCAGTAACGAAAGTTGAAGTGATGCTCACTTTGTAAGCTGTATTTTTTCTCGCCCCTAAGTGGAATATAAGTGCTCTATGAGCTTTCATGAGTCGCTCTAAACAGACTCGTTTCTATCTTCATTTTAAGTTTGAGATACCTTCAGCTACAACAATAAGTGCGGAAAGTGAAACCTTATATAATATTGATTCTCACCTTCATACTCATGCGAACGTATTTTTTCTATTCTAGGCAGATGGATACTGTCAAAACTGCCACGGCAAGGCACTTGACAGGCTGACGCTGAAAATTACCGATTTTGGTGCGACGAAGAAAATCAAATTTGAAGACGAAAAAAGGTTGGTACAGGTTTGCAGTCGTAATGGCATAGTTTTATGAAAGCACAGCATGAAAGCTCCTTTTTTTCTTCACATTCGCTGTGATTTCAGAAAGAGTGTGGTTGGCACTTACGCATGGATGGCTCCTGAAGCATACAGGTATCAAGAATACTCTGAAGCCTCTGATGTATGGAGCTACGGTGTTGTGCTATGGGAGTTGCTCACTCGAAAAGATCCTCATCAAGGGCAACTACCTATCACTGTGGCCTACCTTGTGAGTCTCTACTGATTTGCTAGTTTGATATTTTTACTCCAAAAAGAGTACCCAAACTTTTTGTACTATACCTTCTTTTCAGGTATCTACCAAAGGTATCAATCTGCCTGTTTCTGACGATTGCCCCCTCAAATGGAAAGACATCATGCAAAGCTGCTGGAATGTGAGTTCTCACTTTTTTTGTTAAGTTGCAGTATATCATACATTTTTGCCATTTTCTGACATCCACTGCAAGAAAAACCCAGCGTATTGTGTTGACATGGAATTTCTGCTTATTTGTGATGTTCTGAAGTGGAATCATTTAGGTGGACCCAAAGAAGCGGCCTACATTCGCACATTTGTTAGAGCAATTCCAAGAATATCAGGCTGAGCTGGAGCGCACCGCCTTTTCGGTAAAGATTTCAAATCAGTAGCCTTTTGCCAGTAATCAAGCTATTTTTGTTGCAGGAAGAGCAAGAAGCCCTTGTGCAACGGTTCCATACTGATATTGAGAAGGAAATTACTCAGTTCTACGTCAAACTCAATCGTGATGAGGATCATGAGTGGGTACTTTCTACATTCTCCTGTGTTCTTCAGCTGGCACGAAGTTGGCTTCTAGAAAGATGCGAAGGATGTGCGAAAAATTATATGCACAACTGGACATCAGAGGAGATGGCCGCCATTCAAGGCTAGCTGAAGCTGCTGCCCCCGAAGTACGAGAGCGGCGTAAAGGCAAAAAGAAGATCGAAAAGCAGGATATATCCAAACCACAAGGTGAGCTTTTTTCAGCTTCCTTTTACTTTTATTTATTGTCACTGTCGTTTGCTATATCTGTGCTTGTTGTTGTAGTATCGTGAACTATTCTACATTCTATTTTCCTCTAGAGTGTCGTCATTTGATATCAATCCAGCAACCAACTTCGAGTAAATCGGATTTCAAAGTGATCATGTGTGAGTTACTCCGACATGAGTCCCAGTAGAGTAGTTATTTGCTGATTTATGGTAAACAAAGCCTCCTGAAAATACTGACATTTTGGAATCTTTGTTTTCGTTTATTACTAGGGCTAGAACCTCAAAATTTTGTTTGGGGCTATAGTGTAGTGTACTTCCCATGATTTTTTGGGGAACGGAGGAGGGAGGCTTGTGCATGATTTTGTATACTGTTAGTGTAAGTTACTATCTGTAAGCTCATTATGATTAGTGCCGCTAATAATAAGAACCTCTGCGGAAATGTTCTGCATTTTCGGGCAATAGTCCCTTTGGCATAGAATTAATCCATTATTTTCAAGGAGAGAGGATCTCTCCTTCTTGTGGGTTTGGAAAAACATAATTTTTCGATTATATTATCTCAATATATATCACTATAAAAACTGTTGTGCATGTTCGTACTGTGTTCGTGTTTGTAGTTGATCAACCGACTCCTGGAAACAGAGCGAATGCTGCATCTTTCGGGACGCTACCACGAGAACGGCTCAACACCCATAAACCACTGCAGTCAAATCTGTCTGTGAGCAGCCCTAATCTAAACGAGCTGGATTTCCTATCAACAAAGAAGACTGGAACTTTGCAACGGAAAGATGCAATACGGAAAAAGCGACAAGGTCTGGGACACCATGACAGCACAGAGCGTGAACGGGGTGTGTCGTTCCCCGATCCTGACGGTTTGTTTGTTGTTCGTCTCATTGTTTGCATGGCGTTTGATCTTTCCGAACTTTCCTCTTCTGCAGCGATTTCCGGTTTATATGTTTCACCTGCTGCAGCTGATGCACTACATGTCATGATAGAAATAGCTCTGACAAATCTTTACTTGGTTTTTGCTTACATTGCAAAAGAGAGCGAGATCCGTCGCAGATCTCGTGCATATTGTTTGCGTTGAGGGCGTCTGAATTCTAGGAGCAATTTTGAAAAGGCTTTGCGCGATCATCACCACGTAAATTTGGAAGATTGCATTTTTTAGCTGAGAATCGTCCTCATCATCTTCTTGCTGGAAAAATTGGGCAAACTGCCAGACGCAGCGAGGGATATCACGATGATTCCAGTAAGGTTAAGAAGTTGCTGTCGAGATTCCATGTGGTGAGTTAAGATAAGCTTATCATCCTTATTTATTCGATGTGTATAGTTTCGCCGTGGCAATCACTCTGTCGAGTCTGATGAAGCGCCAGCGTCGGCTAGACTTTCTCCTGTTTCCAACAAAAACGCTCCCTTTTCACCGCCAAAATCTGCGCCGAGCAATTACGAGGTAAATCCTTTTTGTTGCTGGTGGGTTCCATTGAATTGTCTCACTGGCTTCATCACCACATCCAGCAAATTACTATTTAACTTGTTTAGCGTTTGTCATCGCAACCGAGAGGATCCACTGCTTCGGACGATTACACCAAATTAACGTCTGCCAACAAGTCAGTTCTCATAATGCTTTGAAATCTCCATACCTTTTTTTCGTTTTTGATACGGCAACTTAGCATCGAATAGTGTGCTTACATGTGTCAGTGGATTGAAATACTCTGGAGTTTATTATGTTAACCAGTAAAATCAGAGTTTGACTAAGGTAGTGCGACATTGCGTTTGCAGGTCTTGCTTTTATTGTTGAACACAAGAGCAGGATACAACAGAACCACTTGAGATCCGCCACTTTTTTCAAAGGTGAAGCGGGTTGCAAAGTGGTGTCAAATTTTTTAGTTTACTTCCGAGCGTTTTCTTTTTTGAAGAGAGTAGCATTGAAATATTAAAACGCACAGATCACCTGGATTTCCGATTCTTTTCGCCATGTTACAAATTCCATAAATTGCCAATCTTTTATCAGTGATGGTGGTGGTTGGTTTACTATATATTTCCGACTAATGCCAGTATCTGCTAGTTGCCAGCAATAACAACACGATTTTCACTACATGTTGGTAAAAAAAGTGTTTAGGCCTCTATGGAATAAGATGTCGCCTTCGGACAGATCTGGGAAGCGCAGCGATATTTTGTGCACACAGCAAACCACGTATGTTAGATTTTAATTTATCAGTTATATTTACATTTTGAACTTGATATGTGTTTCACAAATACGCGTGTGTAGTAGTAGTTTGCTAGTGTTATAGCGATAGACTAGAACATTAGGCGTGTGAGTTTTTTTTTTCGTTTCCGGGCTCTCATTGAATTCTCAAAAGATGGTCCTTGCTGATTATAGTCGATATGTGAAACCGGGAGCATTTCATCCGTCGTCGTCGTCGAATGGACCAGGACAAGGACTTTCTCCTCGAAGAGAAATTGGCATTGATGAAATTATTCCCGTATCTTACGAAGGCACTCTTGGTATGTAAAAGTCATTACTAGATGTAAATTACGGTATCATTCCGACGACATTTAGTTCCTCCTATTCCCGTCAAACATCATCGTCGAACTCCTTCCGACGAGAAAGGTATTTTTAGACAAAATGCTATTCACAATCCTCCTCACATACCACGCTCACCGCTCCATCCGAATCAGGTGAGTTATGTTCATTTTGTATTTTTGATGTGTTTGGTTTCTTCTATTTCTGTGATCAGTGTTTTTGTTGATTGGTGTAAGGGGATTCAGATCGTTGTTCTTAGTATCATACATCTGTTTTAAATATCCGCTTACGCCTTCTAGATTGCACCTGACATTTTTTTCGAGGGGGGGGGGGGGGAAGAGGAGGGGATTAACTCTTAAACAGTTGATGGGATTGACGTTTTATTTTGTGCCATAGCGCTGCCAAAAGCTCAAGACCTTTAACCCAGGGTGGACGGTGCCTTTTGATAGTGGTTTTGATAAAGTTAACTGATTGGAAGAAAAAGAGCAGATAGTTAGAAGAGCGCTGCATTTGCTTGAAACTGCTTGGCTTCAAATTTTTACTTTTGTGACATCTATCGCTGTGACTGATTTTCAGCCCAATCTGTCCACCATCATACCCCCTTCAACGTCCACAAACAATGGATTTGGTACACTGCTGAACAATCGGATCCCTGCACCTTCAACAGACCCCTACATAACTTGTGGAACAGGTCGCACTGGTGTGATCAACAATGCCCCGTATTTGACCATGACGCCGAATCATGGTATAACTTCTGGGAATGTCACAACCGTGCAGAATGATCAGTATATACAGTGCCCCGTAAGTTCTTATCTACATTTGAGCACAACACTGCCTATACATCTAATTCAGCAGCGTAAACCGGAGCGACCTATTACCTTGAACCTTACAAATGCTCACACACCTGAAAGCAGCGGTATCAGGTAGGAATGAGTCTTTTCGAGTTTGTGTATCAAATCATGTATCAGCTCTAATCTCGTGATTTAGTACATGCTCTGCATTTTCGAATTCGTCACTCACGGATTCTGCACCACTAACACATGCGCCACCTCCTCCACGGCCGCCACCAATTATTCCTCCCAGAGACGGGTCCATAGGATTGTGAGTTTATCCTTTTTACCGACCATTCATCCACAAGGAATCTTTGTAAACAAGAGCTGCGGTCACGAGATAAGGGGATATTCATGTTTGAACGGTTTTTAGACCTATTTGATTGGTGGTAGCTTCAACTAAAGAGACCCCAGCGCAGCTTTAGGCCTTTTCTTGTGTTGAAATGTGTTAAAAGCACCAATCACCATATTTCAAAATCTCACCAAACTGAGATTGTGAGATTTTGAAATTGTTATCATAAGGGGCCTTTAGCAGAGCTATTGCGAATTGCGGAGCGACAATTCTCCAGAAGATAGAAGCGGGCCAGGTGGTTACGCCTCAACGTGGATCGTCTGCTAAAGATAAAAAGTCTAAAATCCTATGTAGAGTTTCCATAACCCTTCATTACTATTGTCAGATCTTTGACTACTCTGAAGCCCGCTTTCGAGCTCAAACCATTCCACCTTCAGACCACCATCGTTGATGGGCGGGGCCACCTGAGCCGCCTCTACCTTCCGGAGCAAATTTCTCGCTTCGAAATTTATCTTTTGCAGCAGGAGTTTCGATTACTTAATTAAGGCCCGCTATCCATACAGATCAAAATTTCACCAACCTCCTTGGGTGGAGGTGCCTTGAGAATTCTTTTTGCTACTGTTTTAGTTATCTATCGCATCTATGTGTAGTAAATATTTCAGGCCTTTGTGCGAATAAACGTCAGCCCTGTTGTCATAAGCATCCGGTCACATTCCTCCGATGAACTCTCAAGTCTCTGTTTTCCTATTGGGTCATGCCGAACACTCTCAGATTACAAAACTCTGCATGTGCGAATTTTTTCATGCTGTATGTACAGAAAGCTTCTAGCATCATAGATTACTTAATGTGTTAGGTAAAGACATAAAAAAAAGTACATAAACTTGCAAGAAATTCCAATGTTTCAGTTGTCAATACAAATTTTAATTTGTACAACTGATTTTCTATATATTTTGAACCTAAATATGACTGTCTGCAGTATATTTTATTCATGATTGCAAAACTAGTGAATAGATTTACGTGTAGTGATCTAATCGTCTATTTGTGCTTGTAATTCTCTTTTTTTTATTCCTTTTGGCTACTCTCTCTCTAGTCACGGTTATGTATGTTAATGTGTTAGTTTGCCTTATGCAGCTCTTGATATCGCATTTTGAAATCAACCATGTAATGAAATAAAAATTCATGGTTGTGTGTTGTGTTCTCTCAGCAACGATGGTAGCAAACTATGAGTTTGCGGATGGGTGTCACATGAGCTTGAAGGCATTACTTACCAAAAACTGAAGTGATGAGGCTTTGATGCAGTGCAATAGACCTCCAGGAAACTGCTAAAAGGGCAGCGTCTACTTAAAGGCAGTGCCTGGGCAAAAACTCGATCTTGAGATTTTTTGCTTACCCGGGCCTATTCGCTACGCTGAATCCGAAAATGCACATTGGAGAGCGCGAAAACGGCGAAAAACGGCTCTAACACGGGAGGGAAATCAGCAGGTGGGCGGGGTCTTCCCCACTGTAAATTCATGCTCTCAGCTTTCAGAGAGAGCTTCTCGGTTCCGCTTTCAAGTCATGCATTCGCACCTGGCCGGTGGAGATCTCAGGGTGCTAGAGGAATTAGGAAGATCGCTCCAGAAGCTGGGACTGCGAAATTCACAGTGGGGAGGACCCCGCCCACTTCCAATTTCCCTCCTGCGTTAGGGCCCCTTTTTGCCGTTTTTGCGCTTTCCAATGTGGATTTTCGGATTCAGCATAGTGAATAGGCCCGGGTAAGCACAAAATCGCAAAATCGACTTTTTGTCCGGACACTGCCTTCAAAATCTCGTTATGTTTTCGTTGTTATCGAGGCTTTCCATGGCGCTGATTTTGGATATGAGGTTCAAATACCAAAAAGCTCCAAAATCATCCCCTTCTAAAGCCCTATTTTGGCAGACGTGGACGAGTGCCTCGGCGCTAGCATGTCGTATGCACAGGAAACCTCGCCGTGTGCAGCAGTGCCACATCAAAAACTATGCGTCTCGACGTTGCTTGCATGTCAAAACACGACACAGTGCAATTTGTGGGTGGGGAGCGCAAGAAGGGGGCTGGACGTAAGGAGCATCCAGGTTCGTTATCTCCTTTTATAGGCAACATTGCGGGACCGGACCGGTTGGTCTACTAGGGCCTGCTGGAAGTAATCCACGGTGAGTAGTTTTGGGTGGACGCTGCCTTCAAATCCCGTAAAAATGCGGACTACAAAGCAGAAGCCGCTGCAGAAAAGCGTTCACTGTGTAGTCCTGTTGCATACACTACATTTGGCGTTGCTTACGATTTTAATGGCGCTGGAATACTCTCCTCGTCGAAATAACTTTTTAGGGAAAAGGGGTTTTTCGATGTTTCACGTGATTTGAACTCCATATCAAAATCAGGACCACGGAAAGGCCTAGAAATGGTAAACGCATCAAAGACGAAAATCTGGGTGGATGCTGTCTCAAAAAAGAGACTTGCGACACCTTAATCGCTGAAATGGAAATTTTCGCAAGCACGTTTCGTCCAGAGGGAAAAGAGGTGATAACTAACATAAAATATTCGACAGCATAGAGACATGAAAAAATACGTGATAACAAATACTGGATTGTTGCGCGAGATCATCCGTAGATATTAGGCATTGTATGTAAAGGTATCTCTGCAGATGGTGGCGCGTTTAGCGTAAATGTTTGCGGAGCAGCCATCGCAGTGACAGGCTGGGGTGGTAATTCACTGTTAGGATCCTGATGATATGGATATGGTGGTGGAGGACTTGTCGTTTTCATCGGTTGGACCAGCGCTCGTTTTCCAGATCGAATAATACTGAGAGTGGAGAGTGCTAGCTGAAATATGAATTTCAGTTCTAAAGACTATCTTATATTGATAGTAGCTTCAAAGTATTAAACATGCTGCTTACCAAGGTAATCACTAGCACTCCAAGTCCAACAAATCCAGCAAGAATAAGAGGCCAAATGCTGAGAGCTTTTTTCTTCTCTGAAAGGCTAATTTGTTACTGTAGGGAACATACGGCCAATTCTATGTACCATCTATTCTACGACCAAGAGTATTAATCCTTTCCCTAATCTTGATCGAGCGCTGTTTCAGTGTTAAACAAGAGCATATCACCCGATCGGGGCTCAAAATGGTGAAACGAGCGACCAGAACGGGAAGATTGGTAAATCCCCTTCTCCCCCTCCTCTCCTTCCGACTTTGTGAAAATACTATCGGAGGGCTTAGCGAGGCCATTATGCTAACATCTGTGGGACCTCGTACAATTTGATCGCAACCAGCTCTAAACTTCAGCTTGGACCGTACTTTCTCCAATCGGACCTCATCTTCTCAAATACGGTAGGATGTACGGTCTAAGCTGAAGCTCAGAGTTGAGTCTTTTGGCCACGAATGGACACCATAAGAGCTACCGCCTGGTAGTGGAACTACTCAATCTATCCCCATAGGTAATCCAGATATCCAAAAGATACCAGTTCCTTTATTTTAACCACCTCTGTCAAAAAGAAAAAAATTGACTTACTGTATGATTTGGTCGTTGTTGACGTATCTGTGCTGGTATCCGTGCTAGACAGAATTGTAGTCGTGCTCGATAAAGATGTGGCCGTAGTCGTTGTTATTCCAGATGTAGTAGCGTTTCCTCCTGGTACAGTAATCGGAAAGGTTACGGTAGTTGTAGTAAAGACGCTAGTCAGATTTCCGGGGAGCGTTGTGGTAGTATAATTAACATTGTTGGGTGTAGTCGTGGTGAAATTGAAAGGTGTCGTCGTTGAATTATCAGAGCTGTTTGTAAATAAAGAGGTAGTAGTCGTGTCATTCGATAACAGCGGCACTGTGGTTGTAGTACTATTGTCGAATACGGATAAAGTAGTACTGTTATCGAAAAGCGTGGCAGAGGTAGTTGTTGTCCCATTGAGCATGGCAGAAGTAGCTAATGTTGTCGTTGTAGTAGAAGAGCTAAAAATGAGCAGAGGGAATACTTTGCAAAATATCATTGGAGTATCAGTCATTTATGTCATATCTATTAGTAGCTGCGGTAGTTTGGAACTTCTGTAAAGATGGAATTGCAAGAAAATTTTTGGAGATGTACTGCGAAAAGCGAATGTTTGAAGAAATCACGAAAGAACTCATCTAACCCCTTTTTGAAATTCCTACTGCCGCTTCTGTTAGCCCCATAGAATTAGGAAACACCGTGAGATATAGCAAAATAAAGCACCTACAACATGTATTAGGTTGTCCCATAAGTCTTTTCATATTCGGACCTTCAATTTGATATTCCTCAAGAACTAGGGCACCTAGTAAGCTGTAAATTTTTGACAGTAACTCTGAGTGAATAAGCTATATAATCGCCTATATTCGGGGAACACAGAACTGATACAGACAAAGTTTGAAAATTGAGCGCAATATTTTTTTCTTGGTTTCTAGCAATCAGAAAAATGCAGCAAGTGCATACATAAATATCCGATGAGAAGAGTATACGCATGAAAAAGTTGGAAATCCGCAGAGTTGTTTTGAACTGAGATATGACGATTTTCATTTTTTCGGAAATTCGGAATTTTTTTTTGTTTTGGCTGGGAACTTGAACGGATTGAGGTTTGTGCGAACTTTTAAAGGCCATCTTGTAGAGCTTGCTTTGGTCTGTCGAATGGTACCACGCATTCTATCAGAAGATTAAAAAAGAACTGATTTATGTCGCTGGAAATTTATGTATGAAAAGACTTATGGGACAACCTAATATTTTGGGGAGGATAATCCCTGCTTTAACTTCGAGACCCCAATACTCCTTCGAACATCTCGCATAATGACTACTTTTACTAAAAACGACTTCCTTTCCCATAGAAGCCATCAAAGGCACCGTCCACCCACATGCTCGACATCCATGCTTTTGTCGTCCCGGGGCCTTTCATATCCCTAATTTCAAACGTGAGGTTGAGATCCGTGAAAACCCCGACCATCCCAGTTCTGGAGAACTTGCGGGCGTTCTCCGGAAGGGCGATTGGATGGGCGGACATTACTGGAGTGGGGTGGCCGCCTAGGGTTCTCTGCACTCTTCGTTATCCCAGGGCAATTTCTCGCTTCCAAAGCAACATTTTGAGCCACGACTTTAGCACTGGCTAGATAAGGAGTCCTACTATCGTATGCTGCCAAGCTCAAGACCCCTAACTTAGTGTGGACGATGACTTTAACGACGACTTTGCAAGCACGCTTGTCGGAGTCAAAACTACTCCAGGTTCACTGATTCTCTAACAATCATTCTGGACTTCTTGGTTGCTGTGAGGAGCTGGGTTCGCACCATGTGTGGTTCTGAAGAGGGAAGCTACCTGACTTAGCTCACGCTTTCTGAATAAGAAACATATATTTGGAGTCAGCCTGGAAAGCTGATGCCAAATATGCTGTTCCCAGGTGCCACGCATCATTCGGAACGGATACGAGGTCCTCTTTCCGTATGACTCCTCCACCGGCAAGTCTAGGGGAAACTCGACAGTGACCAACAGAGGTCGTCTGGAAAGTGGAAAGTGTCTCGCTTTGTACGCTGAGGATCCGGGGTTCGAGTCCTGTTGGACGTTTCTCGTTTTGCAAGCCCTCGAAAATGTTCATTAGTCAGTATGGATGATGGAGGAGGATGAAGAGGATCCTGTATGGTCCGGAGACGATTATGGTGAAATTTTATGGTGAAATTTATGGTTTGCTTTGTTTTGTTTTTTTATGTTTTTTTTGAATTTAGTTTTTATGGTGAAACTGCTATTCCCCAATCTGATCGTGAATTACTTTTAGGCTGACTAATGAACACTTTTGGGACTTGCAAAACGAAAAACGTTCAGCAGGACTCGAACCCTGGATCCTCAGCGTACAAAGGTGAGACACTTACCACTTTACCACACGACCTCTGTTAGTCATTGTCGAGTTTGCCCTAGAGTTGCCGGTGGAGGAGTGAAACGGAAAGAGGTCCTCGTAACTCCGTTCCGAATGATGCGTGGCACCTGAGAACAGCATATTTGGCATCAGCGTTCCAGGCTGATCCCAAATATGTGTGTCTTACCCAGAAAGCGCGAGCTAAGTTAGGTAGCTTTCCCCGTGAGATGGAGCTCACCTTGTACTCGTCCACACATAACAGAGTGGTTTTCCTGAGTTTTGCACTACATAAGTCGAGGCTGCGGTAGGTTGGAATGCGATATAGTAATCTAGAAAGAAAGAAGTTGAGCAGCAAAATAGCAAATAATCATTGCTGAAACCAAAGAAAATGACTGCGAAAAGATGATGCGCAATTCCGGACCTCGTAACAAATCAGAGTACACGAGATAGACAGGTTTGTCCGCTCCGCAGTAGCCTTCTGAGGGAGCACAGAGTAAAGCATCGGCTTTCAACGGAGTGTAGTTGACAAAGGAGTTGATGTCTCCAGGACGAAGCATGACGAAAGTTCCTTTGAAAAATCTTTTTTGTTTCGTTAGGCGCTCAACGTTTTACCCTTGTCCCTTGTTTGCGATATGACGAAGCACAAAATTGGAAAATATCAAAGCTGCATAAGAACAAAAAATTACGGTACGAAAGCTAGTAATTTTAGGAAAAATGAAATTATTTGTTGCAGCCTTTTACCGTGACAAGATACTTGTGCAGCAAATTGTCATCAAGCCCCTCTCTTGAGTTAACCAAATGCAAGTAACACGTAAGGTCAAAGATGGAAAAAAAATGTTTTTTAGACTACAAAATAACACATTTCATTCCTTTAGACAGCCACTTTCCTACTTCCCTCCATTCCATCGCGTTCCCGACTATGAAAGAGGTTGATGCAAACAAAGAAAAGGATGGATTACCTTGCTTTGTATCAGTGTAAGCTGTCAAGGTTGTCAAACATTCGGAAGGACATTCTTTCGTAAGAGAACCAAAACTCTCTACAGGTAGTGCACCACTGGAGAACATCCCAGACACAGTTCCAGCTGTAGATATGACGTTAGCCAGGGAACCTGCAAGGCGAAACATTTGTAGGGAAAGTAAATGATCTAATTCTATAAGGTACTTACTATTGAGATCGATACGAGAAAATTGATTTACAGGTGACATTTGCCAGCTCAGTTCTAAAATTAAAAAAGATAGATTAATCAGTAGTTATTAGTATTAAGTATTTACTCCAAAAATGACTACCTTTTTTCACTACTGTACAAGCTGCTGCAAAAATAAAGTAGCAGCATTGCAGCAGAAAAATTTGGCGGCATAATGTCAGGAAGCCAGCATGCATCTAAGACAAATGGCTCCTAGCCTATTTTTCAATTCTGAAAAAGCTCTGCTCAGGGTGCAACCGAAGTGGTAGTCATGACACTATTTGCTACGCCAGAATCGCAAAACGAAGTTCTAAGAGCACTTTGGTTCCTGGTCGTAAAAGCCTCTCTTGCTTACAAGCTGGAACACTTGCAAAATATAATCATTTGCAGCTTGCGTGACTTGAGCTAAATTCTGTAAAAAAAGATGTGACATTCACCAATGTGCGTTTTATCTTTATGTAAGTGCCCATTTTGTTCTGGAAGGCTCCGAGGATATGAAACAGTCATTCCTAGCATTTCAATTTAAGGTGGTTCGTTTTCAAGGCACCACCACAATAAAAAAGTTAGGCTTCTAGAGAAATCTGTGTAGTGTTGAGGACCTAAACTCACGATGATCTGGCGGTCTCAACGCTTTGCGAAAGAAGATACAGCATTGAGTATAGGAGACAACTTATCTACTCCTTCATCAAACTAATCGAATGAGCTCACCTATGACGGTTGGCATCTGATAGATATTTTTAAGATCTACCAAATGCAATTTACCTCGTTTTCTAGTTCAAGAGATTACGGAGCATAACATGCTCTCTACCATGAAAATCTGCGTCAAATATCACAATCCTTCGACTAATGTGCCTTTTCTGAGCAAAATAACGAAAATTTTCTGCACATCCAAGATGTAATTAGAAAAAGAACGGAAAGCCCTTTCGAACGATATGTCACATTCCAAGACTTTGGGATACAGCTCAAAACTGAACAGCGTGCAAAAGTCCCTGACTTCTCCAATTCGTCGCTCGAAAGGTAGCGAGAGAAGCTATAAGGTGCTCTTAGGATGACATGCGACGGTTTTTATAAAAAGACATTTACACTGCTGCTTGTTTATCATTAGTATGAAAAAACTGCAAATTTAAAAAAAAATCAAGGTGCCTAAACCTTCACATCTAAGAAGAAATCGAGGTGTCTCATTAATCACCTTAATGGTTCAATTTTCATCCCGCTCTGGTCAAACCCCTTCGACATACTTCCGAAGAATTCCTGCTAGTACTACAACCACATTGAACCACATTTCTCAGGTTTCCCAGGGTACAAAAAATGTTCCTAAACATAAGCGACTTACATTTACAAGGTGACCGGGAAGTCATACGGGATGTGAAACCGCTCCATGCCATGAGAAGTAGCTGAAAGCAGTGAGAATAAGTGAAATAAAAACCTTTCAACAAAGCTTTCAGGTTTGCATTGCATCAGCCTGATAATTTTTATTCAAAACTTTATATTTTCTTCAAAGTAATGAGAGTTCTGGCATGTTCGCAGAGGTTCGAAAAATTTTCACCAAAATTCCACGATCCACTTTTTGTAACAGATTTAGCACCTTCCTGCTGATCAGAAATGCGGAAATGCTGTTAAGGTTGAACTAGCCAATAATGAAAACTCTTTGCATATCCAACTCCTTACCAGAGGAAGCTTCACACTGCTGTGGATCATATGTTCTAGACCTTCTATTTCCGTGGTGACTCTCCTTCGCCGGTGGATCCTTACAATTTCTACTTTTGTGGTTTCGCAGCTGGATTCTCGACTTAAACTTCTTTTCGCAGACCTCACACTCAAACTGTGGAACCTCCTCATGGCTGCGGAGATGATCCTGGAAATAAGCGGTACTGACTTCCTCAAAGTTCACCTCACAACAAATAGAGTAAATCCTTACAGCAAAATGGTAAGCATGTTTGTAGACGGCTGGACATTGGGGGCAGTTGAATACCACTCTCCCACAATGAGTTTTATCTATGTGCCGAGTCATATTTGATCGACGATTGAATGATTTGAAGCAGTGCTAAAATGACGCCAATGTCAATTACTCTTTTTCCCTCAAAGTGCGGCTACCTTGCACACGAAATATTCCGGTTCTCCTAGCAACGAATTGATCGTAGAGCGCTTCCTTTTCGGATGATTTAACCTGTCCGCACTATCATTTTTGTATGGAAGAGGGATGACTCTGTCCTGAAAAAATGGCATTCTAAGTTATATACAAAATCAACTGTACTTTCCTAAACTTGGTGAGTTGAATCTGGCTTTCTAAATAAATGAATGCATTGATCATAATGAAGTTATAGATGTTCTTTACATCGAAACCTGCCCTTATGGCTCCATGTGAAGATTCATCGTTCTGCTGAGAATGAGGGCGGAGGAAACCACTCGTCAAAGTGATGACGGCATCCACTTCATCGTCCGGCCTGGATTATACGAATATTTCTCGGTCAGAATGGCTCTGAGAGGTCGGACCGTGGAGCGATATATATGTAAGAAAATGCAATTTTTCAATTTAAAGGAGAAATGACTTAAGTGATAAAATCACCGTAGTGGCAAGCAATATGCCAAATAAGTTTTCCCAAAAAAATTAAGGTTTTGAAAAGATTCAACAGCAACAGTTGAATATGACTACACTCAAATGTCCAAAATCTTGCGCATAAGCAGTGATATTCTTCGCATTTTTCTGCTAAGAGCTGAACAAAAATGACTTGTCCATGAAGATATAATAAAAAATGAGAGTGGCTTAGTTACCACACTGATGTACTTATTTGTGGCTATTTGCTATCATTCGTTGCGGTTCTCAAGATTGAAAATGGAAGCTTAAACCAAGATTATCAAACCTGGATGGGAGAAAGCTAACGCTTTCGTAAATCTGAAAATGTGCTCACCTGCTTGAGTCAGAGATGAAGCGATGATTAAGACGCGAATAGAAGGCATGATATAGTATAGGATTCATTACAGCAGATAGTACATTGAGCACAGAACGTCGTACCAACAATGACGCAAAATCCAAGTAGAATCTACGTGTATTTCCATTCCTGAAAGCAGTCACTCCTGTCTATGCATTTTCGGGATGGATGCAGCTTTCTCACGACTTCGGTTGACGAAAGCAAAAAATTTGTTTTTCAACCGCTTTGATGGTACAAATTGGCAAGGCACAAGTGGCATTCAGTTTCGAGCTTCTCTGTTACAAATGAGCATCTTTGAGTATAACGCCATAAAAGGACTACAGTACTTAAGCCTAATTTCATTAACCCATTTTTTTCTAAACACTCCCCCCCCCCTCTCCTTCTCCTTAAGACTTATTTTGTCCGGAAGTTTTTTCCCCTTCGTTTTATCTAAACAATAAGAGCAAGATGTTCGATATGCACAACAAACAGTGTACATTTTACTCTTTACATTCCAGCTAATTTTCGCCCGCCAACTTGCTGGCACTCAAAAAAAAGGGTGTTAAAAATAATTTTGGAGGATGCGAGATTTTGAAGATGTTATTTTCTTCTCAAGGCAAGACCGCGTACTCTCATCAAAATTCGTGAAATGGCTATCGCTATATTCTAATGGGCCTTAGGTTTTGGTCTATACGTTCACTGTTTATCTTTCTGAAGCCTTGGACAAGCTAATATCATGTCTTGTTGGACGGTTTGAGTTTTTTTTTCGTTGTTTAGTGCACCCTGAGTGTATTAGTAAAATAAAATATAAATATTCACATAGTACAGACTCCAGGCACAAACAAACACTGAACGGTTCCTCGCATTTCGATTATAAAGCTGTTGAGAAATTATTCGGCAGTCTTTCTTGATAATTCATTTTCTTATTTCAACAACTGATCACGGCAGATGCCTGGTACCACACTCTGCATAATATTGAGTTGAACACTAAGTTTTGCAACTTTTCTAATAACTTCCCTCTCACTCAACATGGTGCACTCTTTTGCCACTGTGTTGGTTATTATGTATACTACAAGCGCAGCTGCTGTCCTACCAAATTCTGAAGTCGCAGTGAGGGTTACGGCAGGTGTATGGTATGAAGAGGAAAAATTCAAAGTTTGACGGATTTGGCTGAAACTTGGCATAGGAGTGTTATCCGACATGCTGATCACGAAAGCGATAGTGAAATTGCGTGATAAGGGCTTTTTTGTAGGATTACTGTAGGTGTACGATATGGGGTCTCACCCTAAACAAGGAAAAAGACGTTGATTCAACAAATGAATATGATATTCGCATTCGGCAGGTCAAATAACCTTACTATGTGAAGTCTCGGCGGAATTTGAGCATCGGACTCTTTAGTCATTGACGGTCGTCCCCAGCAGCTCTTGCGTACATCGACTCGTTCGACTTTATGAGGACGCCAAATCTCGACATGCCCATAAATTTTGTTTCTTTCTTGCTAGGCCAAAGGAGTCAACCTCTTGCAATAATTTGTAGACGAATCCGGATTACTGCGCATGGTCTAGGCTGCCAAAGGCTTCATTTTAGCTTGAAACCTCAAAAATTCTCAAATTTTACTAGTTTTCGAAGAATGCCTGAAACTTTTCTATTTCGTGTTCAAAATTCAGACAATTTGTGCTCACTTGTAGCTCACATTGCATTCTACATGATGCCAAAGTTTGAGTGCGCCACGTTGAATGAGAGTGAAGTTGTGAGAAAAGTTGCAAAACTTAGTGTTCAACCTAACAAATGGAGCACCCGAACACTTGTTATTTTTCTCTCAGAAATTTTTTTTTCATTTAAACAAATATTTAGGCTTCTTTTTTGCAGCTTTTTTCCCTGCCCTGCAAGTTTCGTACTCCCACCACTGAATAAAAAAAAAAACAAAGACATCAACCTATTTCTACCGTAAAATAATGCAAAACTGATTTTGCATAAGTGCTTTCTTCACTTCCGCATATATAAAAATAAACGGCTGCACTAATGATCTGCTAGAAAGATGTATAAAGTGTATCAAAGTTGAAGTATTTTATGATACGAACAGCTTTGTTCCGTGAGGCATTTATTGTCTGAATGTCATTACTTTTTGACTAGTCTCAAACAGTTTGAGTGACCGAATCTGTGTGCAGAGTGCTCCTGAGACACTCACAAAGTAGGCAAAAAAGCTCTCAGATAGCCCCTCAGAAGGCTCAAAGGCCATTAATGTCTTTGTTGAAGTCAGCGACATCCAAAGTAAGGGGGGGTGCAAGAAGTGGGCAGTTTGAAGTACAAAATCGAAATCACTTTGATGGTCGCCACTCAGAATGCTTCAAACTGATTTGATCTCCAAACTGAACATGAAGACTACGACTAAAAACACGATATTGGAAGGTTTGATGTTTCTGACGTCTACCACAGTTGAAGCACTTGTAGGTTCTCCTCACAATTTGGGTCTTCGTCTTAGCAAATTACTAGCCTTCCCTCATACGCACCTTTCTCGATCTAGGGGAAGGCGAGTCCGTTTCGAATGGGACTCGGGCAATGGCCCAAAAAAGGCCAACGGATGTGAAGATCTAGTTTACCCAAATTCAAAGAAAGATTGCCTTTATGTATGATATAGCTGAGTGACTGCCCAAGTATCGCTGCAAAAATTCAAAGCGATAAAAACGTTCTATAAATAGACACGTCGGAGGAGACACCACCTAACAACATTTGTGGTAGAGTACTAACTCGAAACTAGGCCCGAGTATCTAACGAGTAAGTACACTTTTCAAGACCAGACGTTTGATTCTCAACACAGTTACAACGAAGCCCACCTTCCGAATTCAAAACGAAGCCCGCCTTCCAAACTCAATGCATTCAGATCACTACTGTTGATTGGCAGTTTCCACCATCTACTATGCCTGACTAAGAACGCTTACGGTAATGCGATAAAAATACACCTACACACCCTCCTTGGGGTGTAGGTGCTTCAGGGGCATATATAGCATATATATAGCAAGTTTCGGCGTCAGACTTCATAAGTTCTTTGAAACATATGAGTCTCCCGGTCCCCTGGCTCACACTTTTGTTCGAGCATTGCAGAGACTCTAAAAAATTAGGTTCGCGAAATGGTTGCAAGAGAAGTTCCATCAAATTATGACTTCAGCTCATTATGACTTTGAATTATTGGTCGAGGGGGGAGATGGCACACAAACTCATGAGGTGGAGATGTTCCCTCTCCTTCAAAATTCTCGCTTCCAAAGCCATGTCAACGGACTTTGGGCGGTCATGGTTTACACCCATAATGGTGCCAATTAGCTGAGTTAACCCTGTATTGATGGTGATAGAGAGCAAGTGCCTACCATCAGAAAATGCACCGGCATATAGAATAGCTTCGCTCCGCATTCAGTGGTCTAACCACAAGGTTAACACGAATTGGAGTGGACGTTAGTGATCTCAGATCAATGTTTTACATCCTTTATTTATCTCGTCGCTACTTTCCAGATGCTCACCAATGTAACTCTGAACAGCCACCATTATTGGGGATTTTCTACAATATGTTTTTGCCTCATTCTTAGAAAAAGCTTTCCGCGTAAGGAAAGGCGGTAAACCAGGACGCGTCAGCAACTGGCATTTGCTTCGGAAAGCGATTGTTTGTTTCCACCGTTTCCACATCATAATTTCCAGAATTTCTCTGTTCACCCGACAATTTCTTGATGAAATTGCCTGTTTCGTACAGACGTGCAATTGCGCCAATTATGCGAAACTGTACAGGTCGGAAGTGAAATTTGGCACGCAATCTCAAAATGAATCCTTTATCCCACTACACCACACATTATATGAACTGCATGAAGCCTACAAACTCTCCGCATTTCGACTCTGAGTTACTCACCAAGAGGCTTCTATACCATCATTGAGCCGAGTATACGTAATTATAGTCGACAAAATTTGATAAACTAGACAAGACTTGAAACAAAGTTTTAGATTTATAAAAAAGTTTGTTGTAGCTGTAATTCCCAACATGTATTACAAAGGCGGAGTTTATGGCCAGCCACCCCAATGTGTAATTGCACACATTAAGTTAGATCCACTCGCCTGCAGTTTGAGCAACAACTAACCTCATTCGCAAGGTGACTTCAAAAAATCTATTCCCCGCGTAAGACACGTTCATTTGAACTCCAAAGAAATCTAGTACAGCACGCACATCTTCCGAAAGGAATGCTTCTCTTACAGGAATGGCGAAAGACATCTATAAAACGAGCGCTCAATTCATCATTTGTGCTCTACCTTATTGCGATACCTTGACTTCGATCAAACGTTTAATTTTCCAAAAGACGTGATGATCAAATTTTATTAGCAATAGCAAAACAACGACTATAAATTCCACTTTACCAATGAACTCGTTGATTATCACAAGAAAAGAACCGAATGTAGTTACTTTGCATACATCAAGACAGAACTACTAAGGAGAAATGTATCAATCTGAAACAAAGTAAATGTGGAAACGAATCATTTTGAGAGAGGAAAACGGGAATATCTGTATCTACCAATCATATAGCGCGCAACAATTTACTTAGGTCGACGCTGATTTTCACTAACGCTTTTTCTACGCTTTGAATGGTATAAATAGACAAAGATGGAAAATAGGAAATAGATGATGCAGGACCGTAATCCCTCCTCCAGCTATTGCTAGACATAACAGCTACCTTAGACGCAAGGTATATGACAAAAATTGCAGTATGTCTTGTACACAACCTAATAGTCGACAAGTTAGATAATCGGATTCAATTGCAAGCCCACTTGAACCACAAAAGAGTACAAAAAAAGAAACAGACAAGCATTAGACTACATTCAACTCATCAGAATAACGGAGGTAAATGACTTTACGAACTTACTGGAAGCAAGGCTAAAGTAACGATCTCAGGATAAAAGCCACTCTGTTCCTTGAATGAAGTGACATCTATTCAATGAAACCATTCTATACGACAGCGGACTGTACAAGGCAACAACTCTTTGAACACTTTCAGACTCAGATGATTGAGCGTTAGGAATGGAAGCATTCGTTGGAGGCATTCATTAACAAGATTTAGAGAAGAACTATGTGAAATTACGATTCGATCCCCAGATATCAACTCGTCATTACTACGAATATGCTTGATTCTACAAACTTATTACACTAACGGAAAAAGCAACCATGTAATAATTCCAGGAAAATGATCACCGAATATAACCGTCTGAAATATGCTTTTCCAACTGATCACCACTCGGCTTCACCGCTACATTTCTGGAAACAGTAGTCCTTGTTATCGATATGCATTATGCCATCTTTCAGTTGGAACTTCCATTTGCTACGCGCACGATGTACCTAAAATGCAAGAGCTTATAAGTTTTTGGGAAGATAAAAAACTCTTGTATTTCTACATACTAAACAATCAATGAAAATTAGCACAACAAGTGAAACCAGCATTTTGAGATACCTTCTCGAACTGACACATGATCACATTATCGGCATCAAACAGTGTTTCCAAATCTTCATCGTCACTCTGGTCATCTCCGGAATTCAGCGGATCCTCTTCGACAATCTGAATAGCAAATATAAGACGTACATGAAAACACTGTGAATGCTTGACTAATACAAGTACTTACCGCTTGTTCACCATCTTCAATTTGCCCATCGCCGATGCGATCAGCAATGCGACGAATAGGATCGTCGTCATCATCAGCCTAAAGAGAGAACATCTGGGTAAAGCAGATTAAGAAAATAGCTGGTACTTGTTATGGCGCAAAATTTCATTGGGTAATAGTGCCATAATCCCATAGAATTCAAAACTGATTAAAAATGATTGGCTTACCTCTTCTTCCTCACTGGAAGAGTCCGACATGCCACCGCCGCCTCCACCATCCAACTGAATTGCTTTTAATAAGCTACGAGCTATCCTCATTGCCTCTTCATCTATAATAGACTGATTGACAAAAAAAAAACAACCCAAAAGGCAAAATCAACTCAATATCGAGTAGCAAGTTAAAGAAGCAAAATGATTGATCTGAACCTGAAACATCCTTCTTTTTCTTAGCACTACATTTCTGACCTCGGGTGATTGACTTGGATGAGCAAGGCGCCTCCACATCCTGTAAATCAACGATAGCGGGCATTATTCAGCGAAAAGGCAAACATACATCTTCTTCAACAAAAATTCCATTTCCATCCAGCTGATGTAATGGATGGCCTCCATGACCCTGCTGGATGCGAGGCTGCAACACACCATTCGGACTTACGGTCACAGGTATCGATTGCCCTAAAAAAATCCTCATGCCCTTCTTACAGTATATTAAACGCTTAGATAAGATACCATTAGCTTGCTGAAGAAACATGACACCAGGTCCGAGTTGCTGGCCACTTTGTGCAATGACATACTGTTGGCCGGGTTGGGGCTGGATTGTCTGTACCATCCGAACGCTTCCCTGAGGGGCGAAAGCCACATTAGCAGGCATTCTGCCGTGTTGTACTTGCTAAAACTTACGATTTTAATTCTCTCAAGGTCATCAAAAGGCAGAAACAATGTGACACAAATATTCTTGAAAGGATTCTTAGAGCGTTCCTACGCCAAATCTTTTCAGTTCAAAGAATAATTTGAAAAGAGTGACAAAGGAATGATTTTAACTGAAAAAAAAAATCGGTTTTAGCCGACATTCTCACAAACCTGGACCTGAATCTGCTGCATGCCTTGCTGTGGCACATATTGCATTTGCATTGGTCTATTCTGCTCTATGTGATTCATCATATTCGAGTGCGACTGCGAGACCATCTGAACTTCAAATGTAGATAAGCTCTTAGCTCGATTTTGAAAGAAACCAACCTGCGGAGCAGTTTGAAGACGAACTTGTGTTACAGTACCCATTCGTGGAGGCATCACGTGGGTACGCATTGGAGGAGGCGCTACTTGATGAGCTTGATGCCGAGGTTCCATATCTACACATCCACTTGCTATCACTTTGTCCTCCCATTCCTAAGATTCAGGTTTTTATTCTGAGACTTCAACCATTACAAAGCTCTTCCTTTAAAGGGTAAGCGAAAAATGCACGCAGTTGGATCACATTTGCAATTCTGCAACCACTTTTTTTGACAAACCGTCTGACTGCAAAAATGTCCAATGATTGATCAAGAAGCTTTAAAGAGCCATCGAACCGTACAGATAGAATCGGGATTCATCTGGTAGCGAAAAGCTTATTCTTTCAAAATCTCGTGATAGCGACGCGATGCAGCAAACAATCTTCAACAAAGATCTGCATTATCCTATGACGAAAGAGCAACTTATCAGACCATTAGCTTTGATGGTAACGATCGACTATGCCAAGGCTATTAATGCGAATAAAATACACAATCGAAAATCGGTTTGCATTTACTATTTCGACTGGAATGATTGAGTTCATGCTGGAATGCATGATTCATCTCCAACTCAATCTCTAACAATCTGATATGAACAAAAACTCATGTTACTGCCAAACCGATAACTAGATTTATTCTCCGCCCAATCGACATTCCTAGCGACTATACCTTCATTTCAAAATCCAAATATTAAGGTGTAGCACGCGAGCAATAACATACTGTTCAAAAAGCTTATTCTGGTTTTCCAGTAGGTATGATCTTATTCTGATACGCCTGCATAAAGAGTAATGCTCGTCACTGTAGAGAGTAGTAATAAAACTAGTGACGTTGATTTCTGTCATTTCAATTTTTCACGTAAGTTTCCAAAGCGTACGACACTTACTAGTGCTTCCGTAATCTATCATGCAAAGAGAAATGTCTGGAAAGTTTGTGAACGTCCCTACGATTGTGCTTTTACTACGGAACTGAGTTGTCGCCACACGCTCATATTCAAAAACCTCGTGGGAAGCTTTTAAGTCATTCAGCTCGCTAGTAACAATGTTCTAAACGGATCAAGCTATATGAACATAGGAAAAAAATGATGGCTTGGCAACGCTTGCAACATGATTTCATGCTCGCGTGATTGTGCTAATGGCACAGAGGATCTCAAACCAGTGCAAAGCCTCGATTATGTTGGAGAAACCACCATGGATTCTTCCAGAGGTTTCAGTTAGCAAAAAAACACGCAGTCAAATTTTGTTGATTTGCGGTGAAATTGATGATGAATAAGTGGTAACACCTGAGCATTTTCTGAACTGCAGGAGTCAAATGAGAGCTGAAAGCAAGGACGTACAGTATTTGGCCAACGTCCATCGGCCGAAAAATAAGATGCTCCAAACAGACAGAGCCTAAAACCTTCTTAAAATTCTTTGTTTTAGCGGTATTTTCTAGATGTACTAGCAGAATGAAAATACCATGAAATTCTTTCTAATTTCAGTATCCTCTCTTCTCTATAGAAACTTCAAAATTGACAATCATGAGGATCTTATGTAATTGGGGTTGTTTTGCAAGGCGAATTCAGGAATGATGATTATTTTACGAAGTAGTCTTTTCTTGCACAGTTGCACTTGTACTGCAGGGAAGCCAAGTTCACAAATTTATCCGAAAGGAATGTCTTGTACTACTGTTGATTTTTCGTCGCTTCAAATAACTTCAGCGCTTTCGCGTTTCACTGATGGAACCTAGTGTTTACTTTGCCTTAAAGCCGTATGACTTGTTTTGATTCAAAATAAAGAGTTGATCTAGCAGGTTATGCATGTTTTCGCTTTTCTTTTTCTTTTGTGTTTCTTCGGAGTTCTGTTACCTTACATGACGTAGTAGCAGTAGAAACACCAGGACCATTTTTTTCAGTTCGCTATTGCGAACATGATCACAAAAGCTGGAATTCACATCTATTTGTATCAGATTATTATAAATTCATTCTTCTGCATACCGTTCGTAACCTTATCAATGTGAGTACTGTACAAATAAGATCGTTTTGTGTTCAAAGGCTTACAAACGCTTACCAGAAATTGAAGCAGATACATTATGAGAATTTAGTCTCGCTAAAGTTCACCTAACGCAAATATGCAGGGATGGGCTACCTTGCAAAATAATTATCATTCCTGGATCCGCCTTGAAAAATAACTCCAACTACATTGGGATTTATCTTAGAAAGCGATTTTCAAGTTCTTAGAAAGAAGAGAGGATATTGAAATAAGAAATAAACATGATATTATCGTTCCGATATACTTCTAAGAAAATACGGCGAAAACAAAGCTTTTCAACAAGGTTTAGGTCTGTTTGTTTGGAGCATCTTATTTTTCGGCCGATGGACGTTGGCCAAATACTGTACGTCGAAAGCAAGCAGGCAAGTAAGAGGCTAGATGATGGAGATGGGCGCCGTCAATAAGACCCTTGAAGTCATTTCGATATTAATCAAAGAATCAAAACCGATTCCGGTGAAAAAGTATAGTAGCGTACTTGACATGCTGAGAATGACGCATTCCGCAAGAGTTTTTCTGCGACTTTAAGTGGAAAGGTCCGGAAATACGTATCTGGACGCGGAAGTTATTTAGCATACTGCATGCAAAATCTCGACTATCCTATCAGTTGTGAACAAAAAAGCTTTTCCGAACAAAGAACCGCCCTCTTAGGTCAATAACTCCAACGAAACCAGCTTGCAAGATCGATCTGATGGACGTGCTAGATCACCCTAGATCTGTAACTACGACGCAAGCAATTCAGTAACTCTGACCGTCTGCCATACGTAGAACAAGTCTATCTGTGATTATGACAACAAAGATAGAGGTTTTGTAAAAGTCGGTTTTATCATGACACTACGGCGAGAAGAGAACAGCTACCCATGCTCAAAAAATGAATGATTTCCAACTCTTAAGAATTTAGAGAAGCCAAGTATTTGAATCATATCTGGTATTTGAAAAAAGACTTTGTCAAAAACATGCCCCCCTATAAAGATGAATGGTTCCGCTTTATATTGACAACTGCAAGCGATACACTACTAGAAATTGGCACAACAGGCATGACATTTCCACGCAAAGGTCATCATCGAGGAAAAAAGCATTCGATGGATTGATTAACTGTAGCACCGACGTCGATGGCGAAAAAGGGGGCAGCGAAAAGGGCATCCACAATTACGTTTTCCATATTGAGGTACACAATACATTTGATTCTGATATCACTCTATAAAAGAACTAAATCTCTAGCGTCATGACATTTACAAATAACGCGAAATGATGTAGAATTTCCGAACTAGTACGAAAGAACGGTGGGAATTTACAGCCACTTACGTAAGTAAAACCTGGTGAGAATTTGATAGATCTTACTTCAACACATCGTAGGCAAAGCCATGAACAGCAAAAGTGCCAAAGTGTGATGGAGGAAAGCTAGCATTTACCTTTTTCAGTTGCGAGAGCACGTCTATGTCCACATTCTCATCAAGAAATGCTTCTTTAACTTGACTAATAACATCCTGAATCACTCCTTTGTAAATTTCGGCCTGAAATGATATCTCGCATCATTCGTTTCAGGTACTAAACCGTATTAAATATATCTATATATGCTCCAAAAGTACACACTATTCTTCTATGATACGAAGCATGCTTATAAATATGAAAATTTTGCGACTAACGAAAGACACTTTGACCATAGAAATTAACTTACAATTGTGTTGCCACCTGATTGCGACATGATGCACTTCTACCAAGAGACCAGACTGAGTCTGAAATGAGCGACATACATCGGCATATCAATATCAGACAACCAGACAATGCTCTACGCATATCAGGTTCGTTTCATGACTACGCCCACTAAGTTAATCTTTTTTCCTCAAATTTATAGCAGTTATTTCTGAATTTCGTATACGTAAAACATAACTTTAACACTTGATGACACATGCGTCTTCGTTTCTCCTTCAAGCTGTACGAAAACTGCCTTTACCATTCTCATAGCGATACGTACGAACGGAACACCTAAACACTCACCCGCTCCCGTAGCCGAATGACGATCGACTGAGTATTTATACACGCACGATGCAATGACGTCATCGCCGGCGAAACCGTTTAGATGTGCAGGTGGGCGGCGCGTTTCGCAAATATGCAGACTGCGAGCGAAATTCAAATTCGTTGTAACGTGAACATCTCTGCAGCTATCGTCGATTCAAAACGCACAAAGACTGGGCGCCATTGCGTACGACCAAAATAGCTGGTGCGTGGGAGAGACAGCAGGTGGTAAGAGGAACGAAAGAGCGCTTGATCACAGAGGCGCCGATAAGTCCGCAGTCTTTGTGCGCAACGAATCGAAGGTATATTCTCCTTTAGTATCCTGATTTTTTGAGAGTATTAAAACGAGGTATGAGTCGTTACCTCCCTTCTTTATCGGTACAGAGTGCGACAAAAGCAATGCCACTTCAGAAATCCTTCCAAAAGACTCATTTGTCAAGAAACCCACGGATGAGCTTGATTTGGTTCTGTTGCGTTCTTTCTCCTTGCGTAAACAATAACAGCGAGCAAGTTCGTCCATGATGCGTCATAGCTATTGAAATCCGAAATCAGAGATTTCCCATCTTCGATCACAGCCAGTTTTACTTGATGTGCAGAGTTCAGATTGCCTGCTGCATGCAATTTATCCATTCTGAGACTAGGAAACTCGGGGATACTACGCGCCGTCGAATTGGGCCAGTACTCACTAGGTAAATAGAGAAATTAGAGTTCAGTCACTGAAATAGTGATCTGCATAACCACTTTGTCGGCATCTGTTTAAGTAAGCATTGGTCTGACCTGCATATACAGGGTTTGGGAAAGTCTTTGAACACGGTATTTTTAACGTAATGATGAAGCTAGGCAGGATGATTACTTGAAATCAATAGGTAATGTTTACTTAACTGTCTGCTACACAAAACTGGCTTTACAATTCAAAGATTCCTCCTCTGACGCGAGCACAAGCTCGGAAACGCTTGGGAACGCTGTCCATGGTGGCACGGACATGCTTCACGTCGATCCAACGCCTCCTGAACAGCAAGTCGCAGAGACTCCACTGTCTTGCGTGGGTGAGTGCAGGCCTTGGCCCAAAGAACTGACCAGACGCTATAGTCGAGAGGATTCAGATTGGGTGAAAACGGAGGCCATTCCGCAAGAGTAGCGAAAACCTTAAAGTTGCTTTGGAGCGGGGTTTGAACAACCTTCGCTGTGTGCGCAGATGCGGTACCTGCTGGAAGCACCAGTCTTTCCTTGCAAAAAGGATATTGGTCTAGGGCATCAGTTGCTTCTCCAGAATGGTATGTAACTACGTAGCAGCGTCCACCTTGATGCCCTGAGGCGCTAAGATCAGTGGCATCTTGCCGCCGGAAGTGATCGCCACCCAAACCATTAGAAAAGCCGGATGAGGCTCTCTTTTGGCGAGTCAACCCCTGCTGATGGCTTCTCAGAGCGATTATTATATGATTCTGATGTTTTGGAAATTGAAAACCTGTTTTACGGTAAAAATTTTATCGTCAGAAAAGAGTGCCGTTCTGTGGCGTGCCTTGGAGAGACGTTCAAGCCGATGGCATCGGCGCAGTCAGTTTAGCTTCGTGTCCTCCCAAAAAGCATGAAATTTTAGCACCCTGAAAATCTTCATCGCAAGGCCCTCTTTGACGATGTCGGAGACTGTTCCGCCAAAGATGGACAGCTCTGAAGCCAGCTCAATCAAGCTTCGCCCAGGATTGCGACAAAGGTGTTGGCGAACGATTTTCAGAATTTCGTTACTGTCCGCACTAGCCAATTTACCACTCATACAACAGTCTTGGGTGCTGTTTATATCCTGGAAACGACGCATGGTGGAAAAGACCCTGATCTGCAGAATTTGGGGAGCCCGCGAAATTGCTGGTGAGCCATTTTCTCCTCGTGCATCTTCTCCACCAACGCTCGCTCCATTCCAGAAGGCATATCTCCGATAGGAAAAAAGCTAATAGTCCAGTTTTTTGAGGGCTTGTACTCAAGAGTATAAGAAGCAAAGATATATAATTAGCATACAAAAATTTGCGGAAAAGTCGAACATACAAGGACATCAGAAATTGTTCAAGGACTTTCCCCCAACCCTAAATTTAGAGTTCATGTTTCACTAACGCATCGGACTTCTTTCTGAGTCTTGGGTCGGTCCTTGTTAGAATAGGTTGTTTATGCATTCCCCGAATCCAGACTTTGAAGAAGGCGATTTAAACGAAACGTCAGTCGAGTAAAGAACTGCCAATCCCGGTGTACAGCTTAAGAAGCCACAACAAGCAGCTATGCACATGGTTGTCTGAAAGCTCGACTCCTCTGTTTTTGAGTGATCTAAACACATACAGAGTTCAATCTGGTACCATCGGCACCCACTTGCCGCGAGGGTAAGTGGGTCAGGCGAGAGTATTATTGACGGTGCGGTCGTTCAGCGCTAAGGCAATTGATAGATCAATCATAGGTGGGTTACCGCGGTCTCCCTAGTGTTAATCAGTGACACTATGATAAATGTGTTAGATACTTGTTGCTCATTGTAGAAACTCTTGGTGTGAACTCAGCGCCAAACTTTCCCATGTCTTCGTTACCGGTCGTTACCTAAGCTAACATTTGGGGCCACACTCCCACTCTTTCTATTAATCGATTTTTGGCCTTTCTCAGAATAAATTGGCCCGCTTCACTTGTAATCACTAGTGTTCCGATAGAATTGAACGCTGATTGCAACCGTCTTTGTTGCGCTTCTGGCCGATTCTTCTTTTGAGCGCTTGGCTCAAAAGAAAATTCGGCCCAGTGCGATATAAGAGCACCTTTGCATGAAGTACCTTTTGTCTAACATACTCGTACTCAATATTTTTGAACGACATGGGTTCATCAGTGGAGCATTGACTGTGGTCCAGATATATTACAGTCATCACTGGATGATGGCTTTTGAAAAAAGAGAAATGGATGTGATTTTTGATTTGTCTAAAGCTTTCAACCGTTATAGATCATGATAATTTATAATGCTCCAGCTATATAAGCTGGAGCATTACGGCACAGAAGGATTCTTTATCATCTCTACTGCAGACTTCAAAATTTTGAAAACCCATTCTGATATCCATGTGCTGATCGGCGCAGTTGACATAAAAATGTACGGTTCATGACGACAGTAGCGGAGTAGTCAGATACCTTACAATCCGCCATTAACCGTATGGTAGAATGCGAAAGTGTCGTGTCTAATTTTGGTGCGAAAAACGACGCTAATTATAGACGCTGGAATGATGCTATCCAACAAACTCTGCTAAGGCTCTGGGAATCGTATTGATGACACCTTAGAACTTGATCTACATGTTTCGTTACCTCATGGGCGCTTTCCAACTTTGTACACACACTTCTCGAAATATGCTGAACTAGTACAAAACGTACGTCATTCCACTACTGGAATAGCAAGTCCTGTGTAGAGCTCTTTCTTAAGAAGCACATAAGGCCTTAGAGAGCGTCCACAGAGTTTTTCCAAATCTCTCTTTTATTGTTTTCTCAATCCGTCACCCACATTTGCTTCCTTATTATGATGAATGCTTGAAAACACTTGGTCTTGCATACCGCTCTTTTGGCAGGGTTGTTCACAGTCTAGTACTTTGCAAAGAAAGGAAAGTAAGTGAAGTCTTCCAGGTGCTGGTATTCAAGCCTAGTCATGGAAGGACTAGCAGATTTGCTATATATATCCGCCATTAAGCCGTAGACGAAATAAGTTTTGCACATTATTCGAAAATGGTTTGAAAATGAAAATGAAATAAAATGAAAACTGCTCTGTTTGAGCAGCGGGAAGAATTAATTAATTTCTTCTGGATTTTTTTTTTCATTTTTCGCTCTAGATGCACTCATACTCGACGTGCAGAAGCCAGCATAGTGAAAGCGTTTCCAGCGTTCAATGAAAAAGTTAGGGCTCATTTGGAAAAATTTCGCTTAGGCGCACTTTTCTTGTAAAGTGGAAGCAGAGTACAGTTATTAATCGAGCCCTGAAGAAACAGCCGTTCCCCCCTTTTGCTCAGTTGTCGTTCTAATAGGATACTAACTACCCATATCCCATATCATATGATATACAAGGTGTCTCCAGAAGACACACTGTTTCATCGTTGATAACTTTTCTCTTCCAATGTCTTTTGGCGACATCTAGGTACTTATGTAGAGGTGGCCTTGCGATTTACAGTACGGAGCATTCCCGATCTTTCTTTGTCACTGTAGGATTACGGTAGAAACTTTGAAGAGTTTTGAAGCGTTGAGAGTGCGAAGTCCGACAAGATGTTGTTCGTGTTGGATGATCTTCAGAAGACTGCGCTTAAAGGCAGCGTCCGGGCAAGATCCATCCACCCAGGTTAGCACATAGTTGTAAAGAGGGGCCCACGAGTATCCGATCTGCGTTGGTCCGAATCTTTGAAGTGGCCTCTAAAAGGAGATACGGGCCTGTGATACGTATCACAAACTGCCCCTTCGTATCACAAACCACCTCTGAGGACGAGTGCTCACGCAGGTTTGCGGTTGCACTGCAGTTGCACTGCATATTGCAATGCAACGGCATCCGTGCAGTTGCAGCTCCTCCCGCTGGCATGCGATGGGGACGAGCAATCCGAAACTCGTCCGCTTCTTGAAGAGAGGGTCCCCAAGAATCGGGTTTTTTGGGGGTGTTGAACAATTTGGACTTTACAACTGTATTCAGGGCCACGGGAAGGCCCCAGAATGGCAGAAACATGAGAGGCGCAATTTTGTCCGGAAGCTGCCTTCAAGCGCTGTATGAGTGGTTCGTAGAGCTTCCGACGTGGCTACAGTGTCAGCTCAGGTCTCAGCTGCGTAACAGAGCGCCGGGAGAACGGGTGAGTCGATCAGGTGAGCTCGAAGCCCCGGGTTCGTCAGTTGGACGGTAACCTCCTTCAGAGGCCCGAAGGCGGCCCAGGGTGCTCTTCTTCTCCTGTCAAGTTCGTCTAGTCATTCCTCATGTTCATCGAACGTCCGAGATGCACTTGAGAAGACGCCTCCATAATAGGGGTGCCTTTCAATTCCATTCCGAAGGAAGAGAAGTCTCAAGAAATGCGGGACCTCAGTGAAGATACGTGCTGCTAGCCGCATTAGCAAACGATGACGGTGACTCGACTTCTTCCCGATGGCAGATGGAATCTATCGCGAAGAAATTCCACACCAACCTCTTCCGCCAATCAACAACCGTGCCGATGCCCGCTGGAGAAGTACAACAACGAATTCTTCCTGGAGTACCACCACGAATTGTACCTGGGTCAATCAAGTTCCACCATACCAACCTGTGCGGCATAAAAAATACCAGTGCATCAACTTACGTCAAAGATGCCCAGGTTCCAAGACGAGAACACATGGAAACGTTTACAGAGATTCTCGCGTCGCATCTGACATCCTCCCATCGAAGGAGACGATTACCGACAGTGGAGAACGTCAAGAACCGTCCTTCTCTTTGAGCGGGAGGATCTTCGGAACTACCGTCCAATATGCCCGCTGAGTGTGCTCTACAAACTTTTCACCAAGATTATCCTCGCTCGCATATCTAGGACACTGGATGAAGCTCAACCCCAACAAAGCTGGATTCCGCAAGGGATTCAGTTGCATGGACCACATCCAGACGGTTTCGAGGGTCATAGAAGTCTGCCGGGAATACCGACTGCCTCTCGTCCTAAACTTCGTTGACTACGAAAGCTTCGACAGCGTCGAAACCAACGCCATCCTGTCGGCGCTAGTCGATCAAGCAGTAGACTCAGCTTACGTGAGGACGATAGCCGACTGCTACAAGGAATGCACAACGACGATGCAGCTGTTCCAATCGCCCCTGACCATCCCAGTTGGGAAGGGGTCCGATAAGGCGACACAATCTCGCCGAAGCTGTCCGCGGCTTTGCAGTGGGTGATGGAGTCACTGGATTGGGACGAGAAAGGCATAGGAGTTGATGGGAGATTCCTGTCGAACCTACTTATTGCGGACGACATTTCTCTTCTCCAGCAGTATTACTGAAGCGTAGACGATGCTGAAGGAACTAAACGAAGTATCGGAAGAAGACTCAGTTCATGAAGAACGCCCCTTGCGAAAATGTAGAAATGGTGAAATATCGAAATGGAATTTGAGCTAAAGCGATGAAGAAATTAATAAATTGCAGATATGGAAATAGAAATGTGTATGCGCAATGGGAGTACAATTTCTCACAAAAGCTTGAAGAAGTATTGAAATCTATGTATCAAAAGGCATGGCAAACTTCCTAGTTACCCAAATATCCCTTTCTCTGCAGCATTTACCCTACGTTGCATAATTTTCTTAGCATTCTTGCACGAATTCCTTCGACACTAGTGTGTACGAATTCTCTGATTTCCTTTCTCCTCCTACTGCCATCTTCGGGCCGGGCCGCAGTAGTAAAATGGACCTACTTTGATCGAGAGGCATGACAAATCACCGTTATAGCTATCGACTAGGCTTTCTCCCCTAAAATCGAATTGTTTCTGTTCCCGACTCTGAAATAAAAACTGTGTGATGAATCTGATTATACGCAAACTTTATTAAGTTCAAAACAATTATCGAATGATATTTTCACTTTATGTGACACCATTAGATCAACAATGCTTCACATTGACTTAGGTTCGTCGAGAGGATTTACCATCAGGAGTTTTGATGCGTTCCACTTTGCAAGTCATGGTCCTCTCCTGCACTTTTAAGATTTCGCACACCTTCTGTAACGTTGTTTATTATGAGATGAACAAGCGGAAGCACACAACATGTTTGATTACCCCGTTAGTATAACGAATTCTGCAGACCTCCACCCTTTTGCCTTCTCTTATCTCAAATGTGCACTTCTGCAAGTTACAAAAATTAGGAGGCAAGTATAGGGCAGTGCCCAGAATTGTCCGTGTGCAGGCGCAATGCCAGCGCCGTGCCGGAACTTTCGTGGACGCGCCCCACTGACAGTATAGATCGAAGTGGTACGGCAATAGCACGGCGCTGGAACGGTGATGGCACGGCGCCGGCGTAGGCAACCTTGAACGCAGTTTATGGAATGCGACATGATTTAACCTCTTTTGGACGCGCACAGAAGCCAACGGCAATCACAATTACTAGCATAAGCAGAATCCTCGCGGGCAGCATCTCTTGAAGATTTTAGAAGATTCGGCGATTCTGAAAGTATAGTATTGCAAGCGAATGTGATTAACATCAACAAAAGATAGGGACCAAGCGTGCGAAAAAAACGTCAAACAAGCCTCAAAAGTAATGTCTGAGATGTGTTTGTTACCATTTCATGCTCTTTATATACAGGGAAAGGAAAGGCCTTCTAAAAGATATCGCAAATATTGCAACACTTTCAAATACCAAAAAGAAAACTTATCATAGTCACTTCATAATGAAGTACAGTCATTGTCTCTCACTTCTTCTAGCCGCAGTTTTCAAGCCTTCGAACTTTTTGTTAGGTCAACAAACAAAATGATTCGCCCATAATAATGGCAAGCAAAAGGCTTCATAAAGCTGACATTTCGAATTTTTGAAGTGACGTGCATCGATGTCATCAATGTTCCATTAAAATGCTGTTACATGACATCTACAGGCAGTGGAGGTATAAATGAAATTACATTTTTCAAGCCATAGAATATCAGGCAGTTGGAGTGCGATCAAACTATTTGAAAATGAAACTTTTCCAACCTACAAACGACATCTCGCAATACCCATGTTATTGGGTTGTTCAAGCAGTTCTGCCTCTTATTCTCAGAGGGACTAAATTGAGTGCGCAACGCTGCCTTGGGAAGTGTTTTTTTTTTTTTGATGAAAAAGATTTGCTGTGAGCTAGACGATACCAGTTCAAAAAAAAAGAAAAAGAAAAAAGAACGGTCGCGCTCATTCTTGGACCTCCAGAACCTGCTGAGGCATTGAATACCCCTTCCTAATTATTAAATTAGATAAGCAAGCAGTTATACATGTAACCCAACCCTATCTCTCAATAGGTTTTTCGCATTTTCCTCCTCCTTGACATTTCGCCCGTTTCTGCTAAGGATATTCATATCGTGTCCAGTCGTTGAAAATTCAGTCTAAAATTTGCTTTTACCGCGTTTTCGGACACTGTGTTGATTGTTTTTAAACCTCAGAGTTTATTTTGTTTCTCTAATGTTTTGAAATGCGCAAGAGACATGCTATCACGTATGTTGCTCAAAACTTCTATCGTGGCCTCGTATTTTTTGCAAGATTTGCTCCATCTTTTCTTACAGTTAGCGTGTCCATGGTGAACAGCTTCATTTGAAAAAAAAACATTAAAAAAGCACAAGAATTACAGTCATTGCACATGAACTTATTCGATACAGAAATTTTCAAGGTAACAATTAAAGCAGTCAGGGAGATGACATGAGAACAGTGCAGTATTATTCCCAATTTACAAGGGTAGTAGGATTAATCACCGGTAATACCTGAGAAGAGATATTCTATGTTTGATAAGAGAATGTGACAAAGAGTCAACTTACGTGAACAGCTCTAAACAGTTGAGTCTTCAAAAAAAAAGATTCACAGAGGTTTACATACCATTCTTCATCAAAAATGGTTATTTACTAGGTATTGAGTGGTGGAGGCAATACTATGGAAGGCAGAAAAACAAGAACAACAGACTACAAGAAATTAGCAGTAGAATTACAAGATATCAACCCTAATGTACAGAAAAAAATAGATCAAATGCGATAAGTATTTCAAGCATATGTGCACATCAATTTTCCAAGCCGACAAACAAAAGATCCCGAAGATATCAACTCAACGCTATCTAACGCATTGGAACTCAACTTCTAAGCCAACAAAAGGGTACTAACATCTGCTGGGAAACATACTACAGAACAATTTTGGTGTGACGAGAACCAAGATAGCTTAAAACGAAAAATTGTTAGAATACTGAAATTTCAGATGTGGGAATAGCGCAGAGATCATCATCTATGCTAGATATACCCATTAGCAATAGAAGCGAGGCCAATGCAGATGATAAGTGCCAGAGATCATGATAGTCGAAGAAACCCAACAGCACACATGGGAGATTTAGAGCGCGGCTTTGAGCAGGTGTAAGCTGAGTGATCAAGTATAATATGAGATGGGCAAAATGACAAAAAACAAACCAACCCTCCAATCAGTCTCTTCTTTCAGAAAGAAAAACAAAGCAATTGACCAGACCAAGAAAGCAGCTATTATACATCTTTTGGAGAACTTGCACCATTTTTCAGTGGATTTGAGCTGGAACATGGTAGTGGTCATTTTCTTTTCCAGTCCCAAAATCAGGTGGTTTTCAGGCACACGATACTTTATTACAATTTACACTTCTACTACGAGTACTGTAATGCCTACGATATGATTATGGGATAATCTAGCCTAGCGAGAGAAGGGGAGGAGGAGGATAGGGAAGTTCCCTTTCAGGTCGCCAAATAAATGTGAAAATATTCCTTTTTACCCGTAAACAATCAATAATTTTGACAATGTTTTGGCCTGAAATAGCTTCGTAAAAAAGTTCGTGGGATAGGCCCAAGCATACGAAGAAATTTCCTGAATGAGAGAGTGGTCAACGCCGCCACTTTACTCAGACTTTTTTGTCCCCCCCCCTCATTTCCCGAACCACCACTATCTACCACCACGGTCCAAGCAATTTCTTTCGTTGCTTCTTTGCAGGAGAGGGGGAACTTCTTTTTCGAATGAAGGGGCACGGCGTTAGTCATGCCCTCTGAGAAATTTTGCTTTGATGAAGATGCTTCCCAAACTTTCAACGGACCTGTGACCGAACTTATGCAAAAAAAAACCTGAAGGTGATTCGAACTTAGATTTGAAAAACTATTTCAATTATACGCTAACAAATACAAGTCACTTGCACAATTTTCAGTATATGTAGGTAACTTCCGTAATTTCGCCATTCGCGAAGATACATCTAGACATACCTTCATAGTAACGTAGTAGATGAGATAAAGCAATGTATTAATGATACACAGGACAGTAGTGAACTGAGTCGTTTGAAGATGTTGCGATAGGAAAAGGAACCCCAAAGTAATGATAGCGTTCACCAGTAATGCGCCAATCGCAAGGCCACCACTAAGATGGCGCCCTTGATAAGCTCGAAATGAGCCTGAAACAAGATCATCTGCTTTGATGCTAGAAGAAACTGAAATCTTACTCAATGAATATTCGGGCCCAAGTAATAGCGTGCCAACACCTAGAAGCACAACTCCGATTAACGCCGTCACGACAAGTCCGCGTAACACAGCTTTGTCGCCGATTACCTATAGAAATTATCTATAGCTCCCAGGCATGGGTTGATTGCTAAATTTTTGAAAATTGCTTACATGAGTTGAAAAAAACTTGATTGTACCTTGAATAATTGAAATAATCTTGAAAATGTTTAAAAATTCAAATTAGTATTGTAAAAAATAGTCGGTTATATGTCATTTCTGAAAATTCTTGAAAAGCATTCCAAAAATTTCTTTGGAAAAATGAGAATTTTTAATCTAAGAGATTTCGCCCCTCCCCCCCCCCCCCTCCCTTCTCCCCCGGACGGAAATTCTGGGTAATGATAGTGAACTATGAATGGTCATGATTCTTCTAAGAACGACGAGCTGCAAGATGAGGGTGCTTCCACAGCTTTCTATAACCCGATCAGGCTTTCAAAACCCCTACAATAAAATGGTGCAAGTTGTTTGCGTACGTTTGCCTGCTAGCGGTGTTTGGTGAGTCTGAAGTGAACTACGGAAGATGAATCCATATGGAACAGATTAGGTCAATTGGGTTACAAAAAGTACCTACAGTCCTATTCAAAGGCAGCGTCCAGGCAAATCTAGACATACAGGGATCGGATAGTGATTTTGGGGCCTTAACTGAGCCACTGCCCAACCGGAGCTCAGGGTGCTCTAACGGCTGAGATAATTCCCTCGAGACTGGACCCCAGGATCTATCTCGCATGAATTCATGGCGCAACGCGTGGGTCCTCGCGCAGAACTGCCATGAATCCATGCGAATACGATCCTGGGTTCCACTTTGGAAGCGTATATCTCAGCCGTTGGGGAGTTACCTGCGCTGCCGGTTGTGCAGTGCCTTAGTTACGCCCCAAAATTACTTTCCACGTGAAATCCCCATACGTCCAGATTTGCCTGGATGCTGTTAAAGGTTTTGACTCCAGAGGAATAGCGACAGTAAGAAACAGTTCGTGCAAACCACCAACTTGTGAGTACAGAGCCATGTTCGACTTTATGCTGGCCAAAACATGCAGCTAGGTAACTTCATATTCTTCTTGAAGCCTAAAGGTGAGCTAAATGTGCAACAATATGCTCAATTTCGCAATTTTGTGTACGATTTTTTTCGCGATAGAACTACTCATATCTCCGTCCATGAAGGCGCTAAGCAGATCGGAATACAGGTTCGAAATCAGCGTTGATGCTGCCGGACTGGTAGGCAGCTTGCGTAGATTGACCACTTTGACTTCTGACCATTTCCTTGTGAGCTCTTTCGTACAGATATAGCTTTGTCCCATAATGCATGACATTTTATTGCATCAAAGGATGTAAACCAATGTAAACTGGAAAACCCCCTTCGTAATACCGCCTCTACCGTTTGTTTAAGCAGGTTCAGTTTAGCACACCAAAAAATAGTACGAACGAACCAGTTGCTGGGCGCGACAGCACTTTTTTCCAGAGGAAGCGGCTGACATTTGTCAAGTTCTTCAAAAATTTGCACTCTCATTTCTTTAAGGCAAAATTTTAAATTTTAAAAGAAAGCGGGGATGGCATTGAACAGGCTCTCAAAAAATTTTTTTCATGTTGCTGTTGAAAAAAAACTGGGCTTACTTTGATCAGTAGCAAATATGCAGACGACTTGCGAAAGGCAGAAAGCAACGCTACCTGTTCATGTTTTTAAACAGATAGCTTTTAACCGCATAAGCTGTTTTCATGGCAAATATGCGTCGTTAGTTCGACTGGCAGCAGAAATACAGCAAAATTTTGCATACTTTTTGCCTTTTTTAGCACGAAAACGATTTCATAAACTTCTATTGATAACGTGCAAGTGTCCTGCTTTTGCAACAATCGGCTTTTGACAGAATGTCAGCACTAGTAAACACAGTTTTTGGTTGATGACAAACCGTGATAATGCTGTCGAATAGAATCACAGATGTCACAGCATTGTTTGCGAGTTGAGGTGTGATAACTTGGCGTCGGTTCCCGTAAAGCTTCAGCATCATAAGTAGGCAGTTCACCTCTATGAATGGAGTGTCTGAAAAGAAAATAACAATGCTAGCTAAAGACAATATCTAAGTCGTACCCAAGTTATACGTTATCGCATTAGGACATGTGTGATAGATGGAACTTGCGAGTGCTTCGCATAAAAGCGACAAACCCATGGAAATTTCCAAGCCATAGTTATTGTATGTGCCGTACCCTGACTGAAATAATTTAACCGATGTGCCCCTCTTGGCTTCGAAAGTCCAAGGAATATTTGACTTGCCGTGGGTTTCTTCTTACGAAGTTTCACAAATATGAGATAGAATAAGCTATCGAACACATATCCTGCGTTGCTGAAGATGTGATTGAATGAGGTGAAAATCCAAAGAGGCTCAGCACATGCGTAATTATGGAAACACTGGTCGTCATTCCATTCCAGACCCAGCCTTGGCTATAATTTTACTTATAAAGCCGTGACAGGTTTAGGAAAAAACTCACAGCAGAGATCACTAATGAAAGAATCGGAAGAAGAATTACAGCAAATTGGGCGCTACTCCAAGACCATTCCTTCTGAACAGCCACTCCGGAAGCAGTCTTCACATGGAGTGACTGTTCTGAATTATCGGAATCTCAAATGTGACAGATGAATCAGAGCTTTCGGTCAGAAGCATGTGACCATCTGCTTACCTCTTCGTAGATTTACAGTACCTTCGTCCCCGTCTGGACTATCACTGATGCCTGTTTCCGGATTATCATACAAAGCTCCATCATTTTCAGGGCCAACTTGTTCAAGTGCTCCTCCATCATCTATCCGTTCGCTTCTCTTCCTACTGCAGTACGAGAATGAGTATGGGCTTTGCGTGATCGCGAGAGTCGGTGACTCTGCGGCCATTGCACAAGCAAGATGCTATAAGACCTCAAACCAATTAAGCAATCCCGTATTTTTTGATTAAAATCGTTTCAGGTGATCAGAAACTAATATCTGATAACAAAAAGGCGTTTGAAGGGAGAAAGATGAGTGAGAAAGCTAAATGCGCGAGCAATGGCCGCAAACTTACCAACTCTCGCGATCACGCGGAACCCTATATATTTCAATTGTTTGTGCACCAACGCGCGAAGCTTGCTCAGTTCTATAATAAGGGAACCATAAAATAGCTCGTTGGGCAGGACGTAGTGAGGATGCATCAATATTCGGAGCACATTCAAGCATAAGCTCTTTCAAAAAATGTTTGTCCGAGGAAGGGTCGCAAAATCTATGAAAATAGCCTTACTCTCAGACAATCAAATGCTCTCAGCCGGCAGCCACAAAGCCACCGCCTAGACCCACCAAAAGCGCGGTGGCCTCATCGCCTCACTGTCGCTTCCCGCTGAGAGCTTTGTCGGAGTTTTGTCGGAGCTTGTCGGAGCGGGCTCAGCGGGCAGCGAGCCCGCTCCGACAAGCTCCGACAAAGCTCCGACAAAGCTCTCAGCGGGAAGCGACAGTGGCTGCGATAAGGCAACGACGCTTTTGGTGGGGCCCGCTGAGAGCCTGTGATTGTCTGAGCTGAGCTATGAGACTGCGCTTTCTTGAATTTTCGAGGTTATGAACCCGCAAAAACTTCGAAGCACCCCTAAAGTATTTTCAAAGGGCGTGATAAACGCCACCCCCCCCCCCCCTCCCTCATCCGGGAAGATTTCTGTCGCGCCCCTGCCTACAGAAAAATTCCTCGGATCGTCACTGTTTCCAGTCTATAGTCAATTTTGAGAAATAAACACCCTCCCCTCAACCCTCCGAGAATAGGTCGCGAAATTTTTGAAATTTACTTACATGGGTTATAAAAATGGCAAGCGACTTGTTTATTTTTGTAAATAATTAAAATAATCTTTTAAATTTTTTAAAAATTCAAATGAGCCTTAAAAAAATTTTTCGGGGGGCGTGGCTGACGTCACGCCCCCCTTTTTTCCGGTTTTAGGGGTTGGGGACCCGCAAAAATCTTGAGAAGCACCTCAAAAAATTTTTCGGAGTGCGTGGCTAATGCCAAGCACCTTCGTTTGAAAAAAATTTGTCGCGCCCACCCCCCCCCCCCCGGTTCAAAATCCTGGGACCGCCACTGTTACCTAATATTCCGAGCGTGTTCATGTTCGGTCCTTAACCCTGCAATACATTCCATTTTTTAGAAAACGTCGTACAAAACCCCAAGATGCTTCGAGAAAATATTTGAGTTTTGAATTTATTCCACCTCTTGAAGGTTTAGGACAGTTTTAAAAATATGCAGTGTTGGGACTAAGGACTATTTTTCAAGCCAGCGAGAATCAAATGCAACATGAAGTACCTGAAAATGGCGTAAATAAGAGCCAAAGCAACGGCAAGAAGGAAGCATGGAACTGAAGCAGCGATTGGCATCAGCAGTGATGTGGTAGATTCGCCTAACCAGGTGATATTGAAAACCTTCAACTTGTTCGGAGTTCCTGAAAAAACCAGAAGCTAGGAAAAAATCTTCTCACTTGAATATTTACTGTAAATGGGGTTTTCTGAACATTTCGTATCGTCCGGATAAACCTCGATATGCATGTAGATGACCGGTTGAAGTTCATTTTTCAGAAGAAGATCAAGTCGCCTAGAAAATTCCATTGACTTCAGCTGATTGTCATCCCATCCTTCTACTTGAATATTCTAAAATGGTCGGTATAAGAGTATATATTATAGATCAAACGTAAATATGCTTTTCCCTCTCCTGCGCGCCCTCTCAAGCCTTACAGAATTATTGCTGCTACCATTACAGAATAGCATATTAGCATATTACCTGAACAGTAGAGACGACCAATCTTGCGCAGATATCATCATCACTTTGAATAGCGATTCTAAGCATATCAATGCCTGCGTAGTACCCACTGAACTGATTGAACTGACAGCGCTTGTACCGACGTTACCTTTAGTCGCAAGTCGAAAGGAAACAGGGCGTACAAATCCAGCTTTTTGATTGGCAAGAGACTTTTCTTTCGGTGAGGTCGGTGGCAACCTGTAAATATTGACCAGGATATAGTAGCTTGATGGAATCATGTGGATTACAGTATCTGAGAGGACACAAAGGATTTTTGTGGGCCTTCCGGCCACTGTAAAGCCACTTCAATCCAGATGTTCACCACTAGGAGAAGAGATGGCTTTACATATCTTTCGCTTTGAATTTTGCGAAAAATACGTTGAATCACACAAGCTGTTGTGTAACACACGTGTCTTACCTCGTTTCGCTTAAGGTTCGGCACGAGGTGGCTTTCCGAATATGCAAAAAACGAAGATCACTCTAACTCGCAAAAATTTTTTTACGAAGTCCCTTTTCGCCCAAAATCGGAAACGTCGACTGGAAAACCTAACCTAACTTGTTTTTTCAAACCGCAAAAACAATGTCCCTGTTGCCCATTTTTGTCCCAAGAACGATATGCAGCTTGCTTATAACCTGTGCCGAGCCCAGATTTTACTTCTTTATCCTCGCCGATTCCTTGAGTTTCCATAAACTTTTGAATCTTTTTCACAGCCTTGGGACAATCAAAATAGTATCAATGCCGGCATATCAGACCGTGATTGAAATTCTGAAATCATAAACAAAGAATTACCCACATAACGTTGTACTGAGATCTATCGTAATTAGCAACGCGAATCTTCCCGCTGATAGCCGTCTGAGCGCGAGATGAGATCGTCACCGTAATCACCTGCACATTTTCGGCAAAATCTTCAACCTCCAAAGGTTGGATAGTTCGAGCACCTTCATATAGAAGTGATCCGTTGCTGAAATATTGTATACTAATTAAAGTACGCATCCAGTCTTGAAGCACCTTGTTTTTTCAGGGAGTGAAAAGGATACAGTAGCTCTTCCATTAGCAACTGTGATCTGTACATAGTTGTAGTCCTCATATTTGAGCTTGGGATTATCAAGCATACAGTGAACGCGGAGTAGGTCGAGCTTAACATATTTACATGAGTTGCGACCCAATTCAGGTAGTAATGAAGATTTTGATATGAGTTCCAGTAAGTTTCATATGAGTCAATGTATTATGTAATGGCCAATCTACGCACACAGAGCAGAATTTATCAATGATTCAGTTTTCTGAACCAAGGTGCGTAACGTCGTCCACGCGCTTCGAGAAAACTTCTGGGATGTTGGTCAAAATGTTGCGCACCTATAATCTCGAAATTTTAGAAAGGAGAGTAGTGGGACACACCCCAAATTTTTTTTTCACAAGGCTAATTTGAACTTTTAGAAATTTTCAAAAATTTCTTCAATTCTTAACAAGTATGAACAAATCACTTGCACATTTTTATAACTCGTAACTCACGTAAGTAACATTCAAAGACTTCGCGACCCATTCTCGGAAGTGGCCCCCTCCCCCCCTCCCCCCGTCCTAACCCTTCCCTCCTCCTTTGCACCAATGCCTCTTCCTATTACTCTTATTTTTGCGTGAGCACTGGATTCAGATGCAATGACTACTCGTGACGACCGTACGAGACGAAATGTTCCTCGCTTTCCAAAGCACTTACGCGTGCGCCTCATCTCGCGAGGCGTTCAAGATAACCCTTTTCAAAGTGTCTCACTGTATGGAGTTAAGAAGCGAGGCCCCTCCCCCTACGAGAAGACCGCGCAAATTTGGAAGTTGCATTCAGAAAGCAACATGCCTTTAATATGTTGACGAGATGATTTCATATTTGAATAGACTGAAATGCTCCAAGAATTTTCGAAGGTGTCACTGCGCGCAATGTTCCGATATGAGCTTGATATTATGACTTTGAGAAACTGGACTGAAAATGTTTTCTGAAGGCATGATGAGCCATAAGTGCGCTGAGATGAGCGAAGCCCTTCTTCGGAGAAACAGGTAAATTAGGACGAGACTGGTACGTACAAAAAAGCCATGCACTAGACCAAGAAAATACTTGGTTTTGTTTTCGAAACACTGTGTGGCTTACGATATAAAGAAACTGAACACAGATTCTCGTGATAGACGCTAAAAATGATAATAAGTTGTCCGCAAATTGATGCAGGTTCCTTATGCGATCGCGCCGGGGTTAATATAAAAATGTGGGATATCATTCGACAGAGCAAAGCAACCTCTACAAAAGTGCATTGGAATAATCGCAAAAAGCTTGATCCACGTTAAGTTTGAAATCAAAATCCAAAAAAAAGTCTAGTACAAAAAAAGATCTCCGTCGAAAAGATCCTGCGCACCTCCAACTTGGTCACGCATATGTATGTCCCTTACGTCAACCATTTATATGCAAACTTACTGCATTATCAAAGGCCGAAAATTGAAAATTCAAAGTGAGCCAAAAAGCTTTTATTCGGTTTTTTCATGCTAAAGTCAATATGTCTCGGGAAACTAGCCCTTGGAGGAAATTAAAAACCTATAAAACCTAGTTGCACTCCGCTCCCACTCTCATACCAACTTTCATTTTCTCGAATTTCTAATCGTGAAAAAAATAACAGCTGTAAAGGCTGCTGCTGCATGGTGAAGGCGCAGTACCTTTAGGCTCCCGCCAGAGTGCCGAAGCCATGCCAGCGCTACGCCAGCGCCGAGCCAGCGTTTCGATCGATGCACGTGTATTCCGTTGGCGACATCTACCTGCTGAGAACTAGGTCAGCTAGCCCCGCCCCAACGAAATACACGTGAATCGATCGAAACGCTGGCTCGGCGCTGGCGTAGCGCTGGCATGGCTTCGGCACTCTGGCGGGAGCCTTAGACGCGAAGGCGGCTTTATCAGCCACAGAGCGCATAAGGCGCAGGATTTACAACGGTGAAGATACGTGCGCGCAGAGTTCGCGCCCGCTCAACTAATCATGCTTCTGCGCCTTCGTCATGCAGTAGTCTTTACATATTGATGTTCAATGTGGACAGTATATCTTTATCTTTATCTTTATCTCATACACGTAAACGCGTGTCAAAGCCTGTGTGAGTAAAGAAAACATTGCTAGAGCAAGATAGAGTAGCTGTCACCTTCAGCAAGAACAAACAAACAGCGAATAAGGGCCTCAGGTGTTGAGGAAGAAAACATTTTTATTTGGTCAAGGGAGGTCAGGTGATTGGGATTGGGGAATGCCACTGCCATTTTCCGGGCTGTCCAAAACGTCTGCGATTTCCTGGCAGGTATCCCACAACCTGACACCACCGACGCTCGGATACACCTGCCTTATTTTAGCAAAGCCATGCATGAAACGCAGCTGTCTACGGTCCCAAGAATCAGCGCTGTTTGCTCATCCGAAAGTGGGTGACAAGTCTAAACATGATAAACCGAGAAACACGAAACACGATAAATCGAAAAAAAAAACATGGAGTTGTGGGCTGACGTAGTAGCAAAGGGCTTCACGAAAGCGGCTGTCGTAAAAGCGAAGTGGGGAAAGCAAAGTCGGAAACACATGAGTCGACAAGCGGGAGTCAGCAAGAAATAAGACCTGTATGCCTGACCAAGTTGTAAGTCCGCAGGAATCTTATCGAGCAAAAATCTAATTTTTGGTTGTTTGAATTTTTTTGAATTTCGCTTTCAATTTTCACGTGGGTCCGATAACCGAATATTTCTTTCATTTGGGAATTATCCAAACTGTTCGAGAGCACCAAACCTCGCGTGCTTATCGAACGGAATATGTATAGTTAACATCCCAGGAGTAAAGTATTTGCTTGTAACAGAATGGGAGCAGGTTTCTTTTCGAAGTGTTCGCCTAGAACAGCCATTTTGTCGAAGAACTTCACGCATCGTCTAAGCCCTTCGCTTCCCGTTATCAAAGCTTCCGCCTCAACAGGAATGAGTTTGTTCCAAAAATTCAATGCCTTTGAATTCAAAAGATCAAAACTTGAAATTCTTTCTTCTCGTGCTCTCTGCTCTGAATCCATTGCGTACCGAAGTTTTTGCAAACATGCGTAATTTTTCAGAGTGAGTTGTTACACAAAATGCACACTGGAAAGTGATTTCGATAGATTTTTGATTTGAGAAATTTCATCGCAAATTCAAATGGTCGCTGCCGCTCTTCCACGACGTATAAAAATCCTTAGCAAAGAGCGAAAGCAGAGTTCACGCTCAGAAAAAAAGATATGGGTCATGTGGTGATAAAAAAGTCGGGAGCCGTTGCTCTTTCCGGCGGCGAGAAAACGCAAGAAGTTCAAATCAAGCAAATTTTTCACCTCATTAGAAAAGTCGAGAAAATAAGTAATCATAGTTCTCTTGAGTACTTTTCCGTTAGCTAGACCCATTTTTCCAAAAGAATATTGCTTTTCCTTGTACCAAATATGGTGAAAACTTCATAGGATGGAGAGTCAAGCTCCTGCCACGTGTAAAAAAAATTGACTTGTCTCTAGAATTTTAGAGGATTTTAACAAGAGTTTGTTTAGCCTACCTATCAATGCAAGTCCAATCTGTTTTTTTATTTCATAATGACCTCATTCTTAGTCAACAGTTTAAAGAATGAGCTTTGATATCATAAAAATGACATTCTGTGTTTGATCGATATTCGGTTTTCCCAAAGAGAAAAGTGAGCTATTGTTCTAACATCTAAAGACGAAACAATTGGCAGTCAGGTACTTTAAGCCATCATTTATATTCATTTCCAGCTAAATTTGCATGCCGGAAACAACGAGAAAAGCAGGATTTTTCTAAATCATTGCCAAGAGCTATCAAGAATGTTCCAATAAACATTTAAAATTGTTTTCATCTGTAAAAGACCCCTGAAAGCTTTCCAATCATTTCAAAGGCTCTCGTACCTCAGGAAACGATTTTAAAAATATGTCCTGGCCCCAAACTTGTGTAATCTCTCTTCGCTTTCTCGTGTGAGCAGGTATGAGAGGAAGTGAAGAGAGGTTAGAGAAGTTTGGGCGTTTGGGCGCTTATGAGCAAAGTCTGGCCGGGCCTTTCAAAGCATGTGAGAGCAGCACGACAGGGGAGATTTTAATTTGGGTTTACTTAGCGGTTACTGTACAGAAATGATGCACCCTCTACATAGGTTTACACAAAACATTCCATCATGGCCGGTCCGAGCCTCTATCTGAGCAAAAAGTCGATTGTGAGATTTTGTGCTTATCCGGGCCTATTCGCTATGCTGAATCCGAAGGTCCACACCGGAGAGCGCGAAAACGGAGAAAAAAGGCTCTAACGCAGGAGCGAAATCAGGGACGGTATCTATCAATCTCCCACTCGCACTGTAACGCCCATTGTTGACGCGAGCCGGCACAGACGAAAGCACCCTTCCCGCGATTTATGAAAGTCTGAGAAGCGCGGCCCAAAAGGGCAGCGCCGCCCGACTCGTCGAGATGAGGAATTGCCGTGCCCAACATGGCCAAACTTGCCAGATCGAATATTCTTCAATGGAAAGGAGTCCGATTACCAGCTTAGCTTCATATATCCGGGTGCCAATGCCCGCGCCTGTAGGGCTGTTACCTGTATAGGAACCCATTCCCGTACAGGAACAGCGAGTTGGAGATTGATAAATAAGTCCGCCCCAGGGCGGTATTTATCAATCTCTCACTCGCTGTTCGGGCCATTGTTAACGAGAGCCCGGACAGGCGAGAGCGCCAACCCATGATTTATCAAATGGTCCGATCTGAGAAGTTTGGCCATGCGGGCACGGCAGCCGGGCAGCATAGCCCATCTCGACGTGTCAGGCTACGCTGCCCGACTGCCGTGCCCGACATGGCCAAATTTGCCCCCTGACGATAGCCGGCGCTTTTCTTCAAAGTCATTTTTCTTTCTCCAAAGTCAACGAAAAGACGGTTAGCGAGATCGAAAGACTGCTAACCGCCCACATAGGAGCTTCAGACAGTCGAAGGGATATAGAGACCTGTAGGATCGCGAGAGTCGGACGTGCGTACGGCCACTGCGCCGCGCACGGGGAGGCGTGCAAGTGGTACCGGGGCAGCCGGCTGCTGCCGCAGCCAGCCGCCAGAGCTGCCGACAAAGCCGCTGCAGATGGTACAGTATAGTGTGGACCCCGGCCAGCTTCCCATAGGTACTAGCGCGGCGCACACGCAACGCGCGCCCGACTTGACGCTTCTCATTTCGCTTCCGAACAAAAAAGCATTATGACCGAATACAGAAGTCGAATGAGATGTGGAAGCCTCTAATCTGAACTCGAGAAAAGCCAAGGCAGTAGCAGAATCTTCACAACTTCTACTAGCGCTCAGATTCCAGTCAATCTCATAGATGACTGGAATCTTCTATCGTCCATCGCTGGTAGTGTATGACACTACCAGCGATTGATGATAGAAGTAACAGGAAAAGTCAAAGAACACTTCTGAAAAGTTTTCCTTCTGTAGTCGTAAAAAAACCCAAAAAGTTTGAGCTCAAGAGCACGATGGCAAAGCCCTGATGGCGCAGTCAAAAGACTAGAAGCATCTAAACTGCACAAAATCAATTGCATATACACTTGATCTGTGATAAGAACCTTTGGAGAGGATATTCTTCTGAACTACACTGAAATCTTCACTATTGGAAAAGAAAAGAAAGATTTTTGAAACAAAAGCTTGCAAGAAAGTCAAGGCTCGTAAAAATCCATCCCAGCAGTTGACGTGAGTCGTTTACATCTGAAATAGAGAAATTACAGAGGAGAACAAATTCACTTGAAAGCGAAAATTGAAAGAAATCCCTTCTGAGCCGAAACGAAAAGCGCACTGAAGGCATGCGCTGCGGGCGCGCCGCGGAGGTACCCATGGGAACCTGGCCGGGGTCCACACTATAACTACGCTCGTCGTCTAAAGCTCTTGCCGAGAGGTTTTCTCGCACCTCGTCGCTCTGAAGTGCGAAGTCAGCCTCAGGAAAGCGTGATATCCTCGATATCTATATCATTTTGAACACTAAAAATTTTATGTTTTTTGCGAGACATGCAAATAAGCAAAGGTGAAGAGGAGGATTTTTCAAGAGGAAAATGATCACAAAATTGAATCACTTCAAAAACTCAAAGGAAGCAGAAGCTGAAAAAATTAGAATTCTCAAATTTCTAGAAAAATTTTTTCTCTCTTTTACGTCGAAAAATCGACGAGAACAATTACAGGAAAATGTCATGGATATAAGATTAAGAAAATTCAAAATAATTGTTTTTTACATAGTGATGTTAAACGAGCTAAATAAGGCTCGCTAAAAAAATATCCATTGACGCTGTAGTTTTGAGAAATTTGAGAAATTTCTGAACTTTTCAGCTTCTACTTCCTTTGAGTTTTTGAAGTGATTTGATTTTGTGATCATTTTCTCTTGAAAAATCCTCCTCTTCACCTTTGTTTACCTGCATGCTTCACAAAAACATAAAATCATTGCTGTTTGAAATGATATAGATATCGAGCATATCACGCTTTCCTTAGGCTAATATCGCGCCTCAAAGCGACGAGGTGCGAGAAAACCTCTCGGCAAGAGCTTTAGACGACGAGCGTAGTTACCGTATCATCTGCAGCGGTTTGCCGGCAGCAGTCGGCTGCCTGGGTACCACTTGCTACGCACCCCCGCGCACGTCAGGTGTGCGTCCGACGGTTCATTTAGGTGCCAGACTTACCCTGTTAAACATGTTCATTCGGTTCAGCACCTTTGCAGTTGGACTGTTTAATGATTTGACCTAGGAACCGAACGAATCGGCTGAGGCGGATAAGTCTGGCATCTGCCTTAAGGGCCGGGCATACTTCAAGCGATTTCAATCGCGACGCGATTTGGCAATATTCCAAGTGTCCATAACTCATTGTAAGCACATTGTAAACGTACAGAAGATAGGACATTTCATCAGTTTACGTAAGTTATACACACTATGCATGTGCAGTTTGCTAATGTTGGATCCGAAGACTTCTGGCGAATTGCCAATTTGCTTCGCGACTGAAATCGCTTGAAGTATGCCCGGCCCTTTAGTGACATCGGACGTGCGCGGCGCAATGCCCGTACGCACATCCGACTCTCGTGATCCTGCAGGCCCCTATAACACCGTAGGGCAAATGGCGGTGTCTGCCACTTCGTGCTCCGGAGCTCTCCCATTTCGCGCGTTTTGGTGCTCCAGGGCTCCTCCAAATCTGGCGCACGGTGACGTCACAAGAAAGCGGATGGGACCCCTTCCCGGGGCTCGCAAATCTCTGCTCCGGAGAGCGCCAGATTTGGAAGAGCCCCGGAGCACCAAAACGCGTGAAATGGGAGGGTTGCGGAGCACGAGTGGCAGACCCCCGCTGGGCAGAGCCTCACCCCGCCCACCTGCTGATTTCCTTCCTCCATAAAAGCACCTTTTCGCCATTTTCGCGACCTCCAGTGCGAATTTTTGGATTCAGCATAGCGAATAGGCCCGGGTAAGCAAAAATCTCAAAACTGACATTCTGTCGGGACACTGGCCCTTGAATAAAGTAATGAACACAGAGTAATCTGGATATCAACAGTGTATGGAAATTGTACTCACCGCAGCACTTTGATTCAGAACTGCATAGAACACTCTGAATTCTCCGCTTGGCAGATTAAAGTTAACGAAGCGCCGCCTTCCAATCTCTATGGGAATTCCAGGCAGATCGCTGTCTTGGTCATCCGCGATTGTCATGCACCACATGGAAACGAGTATAGAAATTACCACAGAATCTGCATGTTGAAACGCAAACATCGCTTTTACCTAAAAACGCATTAGAGCAGTTACAGTTTGTCTACATAACAGTCTACGGTTGCGTCCAGAGATGCTCCTCGGATAAAGGAACTAACCGTAAATAGAAGCCTCCGCACGGTGTGCCAAGGGCGAAGGGTTGTTGCTTCTCTATTTCCTGCGTATATAAATGTATTCCCAATCTGCTGACATGTAACTCAAGCATGACATCTCCAACATCAAAATGAGTTTGTGGTGAATAAACCCTCTCCGCTCTTTCTCTTCAACCCTGACTCTTTCTCTTTAAGTAGCAGGAGAGCATAAATTTTGATAGATTTAAGCAACAAAACATGCAATGTAAGACCTCATCCTAAGAATGAAAACAGACAGATATATCGTTGATACTTGACCGCACGGACTGCTCAAACCCTGCGGACCACGCGCGGCGCGGCTGAATTGTCGCGAGAGCACAACTTGTATAATGACGAGTTTGGGGCAGGTATCTTACCTCGCGGTGCGTGCTCCGCAGTGATGTCCAATTCATGCGGTCAACGAATCAACTATACTTGAAAACCTGCAAAAGCCGCCACTATACACAAAAGGCTTAGAATAATTATGCGGAGAAAATCAAGGGGCTACTGTATGAAAGGGGGCTATAAAGAGCGAAGGATACACTAAAAATCCCAAATAGCTAACACTGCGCAGATGCAATGGAATCGCAGATAAGGGGGTGGAGATTAAATGTCGCCAAGTGGGTGGTCCCAAGCGGACATTTGCGACAGCTACGCAGCTCCACAAATTGCAGACAAACGGATCTGCCGGCTGTCCGCGCGAGGTGGAGCCTATCGGAGACTTTTCCCTCACTAGAAAGAGGTGTGTCGTAAAAGATAGTTCCGCTGCGCCGCATTCGCTCCGGCTCGACTCAAGTTGCTGTCGCGCCTTTCATCCGGCTGTGAAGATCAAAGTTTTAAAAGATGGCAAATAATTCTCTTGAAAATGCCACAAGCGGTACTATTGAATAAACAACCCAGAAATGAAAAGTCTCGAATTTCGCTGAAACTTTGTACATAGAGGTTTGACATGCTGATCACCAACATGCGATTCATTTCGCATGGTAGGGCGCTTTTTGAGGGGTTACGGTAGGCACACCGTATGGGTTCAAAATTTCAGGCTACTCTAGAATACACAACCCAGAAATGAAAAGTCTCAGATTTCGCTGAAACTTTGTATTATACATAGAAGTTTGACATGCTGATCACCAAAATGCGATTCATTTCGCATGGTAGGGCCCTTTTTGAGGGATTGCGGTAGGCATACGGTAAGGTGTCAGGATAGATCTCGCTGAAACTCTGCACAGAGGGCTTATTCACCAATGATCACAAATACCACACTTTTTCCGAACCAAAACGTCTCCCTCTGGTTACGGTAGGTGTGCGGTAGGGAGTCAAAGTCCCTGATTTGGCTGGATTCCGGTTTAGAGGGGTTACTCAACATGCTGACCACGAGTATCGTTTTTGCGTTTTAGGACCTTTTCGTAGAGTTACGGTAGGTATGCGGTGAGGAGCCAGACGTAGATCCGCCTGAAACTTTGTGCAGGAAGGTTATCTGATGCGCTGGTCACGAATATCGCGCTCATTTCGCATGGTAAAACCTCTTAATGGTTTTGGAGCTCAATTGGCCTGGGAAGCGGAAATGCTGCTTAATTGATTGTTGCAATCGCCATAACTCCATTACAAGACGTTATTGCAGCAAGTTTCAGCGAGAACTGGAATTCATTCTGTATTTTATAGCTACAGTTGAAAGGAGAACAAGTTTCTCGAATACTTCTTACAGGCCAATCAGGAACAATGACCATGGCGACGTTTGCGTGCGTCGCGTATGCGGTTTCGGCCAGCGCATCTTTTCGTCTCTACTCGGAGCATTTTTTCGCATGCATATGCTAGCTGCTAGATTCTAGAAGTGACTTGAGCACCCGGATTAAATTGCGCAAAGACCACGTAGAGGAGCGCAAAGACACATTTGAATTTCTCACAATTTTATGACGTCACTACAGGCTGAAAGTAGATGATATATGGTGTTAGGGACCCGTCATACTTCGCCGAAAAAAGCCCAAAAAAATCCAAAAAGGCCCAAAAAGCGCAAAAAAAGCCTGAAAAAGCCCAAAAGGCCTGAAAAAGCCCAAAAAAGCCGGAAAAAAACCCGAAAAAGCCTAAAAAACCCGAAAAAACCCCGAAAGAGCCGGAACGCAGAAACGAGTTTTTGGTAGAATTCCGACATTATTAATGTGCAGACGACAGAAAATGAAGCAAAAAGACTTGGTTGCGAAATCAACACACATGCCTTAGCGTCAAAACGGAAGGGACGTTTCGGCTTTTTTGGGCTTTTTTGGGGTTTTCGGGCTTTTTGGGCTTTTTTGGGCTTCTTCGGGCTTTTTGGGCTTTTTCGGGCTTTTTTGGGCTTTTTCGGGCTTTTCGGGCTTTTTTGGGCTTTTTCGGGCTTTTTGGGCTTTTTCGGGCTCTCTGTGCTTTTTTGGGCTTCTTTCGGCAAAGTACGACGGGTCCCTTAGAATGGCTCAACCTAGATCTCGAACTTTGAATAAATTGAGCCTGAATACTTTGAATAAATTGAGCCCGAATTTCTCAATGTAGCATCGAAGATCTTCTAATTGCTGAAATGTGATGAGTATCGGAGACAGACTAAATATTTCGATACAATTTACAGTTGACAGGACTTTTCAAGTAGAGCTCCCTAGGTAAGATCTGGTGCTCGCAAACAGAAGAACAGAAGCCAACAGGTATCTATCATTCAGTCACTGACTAGGGGACACGAGCACGCTTTGCGCATGTTTGATTAACAAGTTTTAAAGCGCGTTACAACGCGTATGGTACATCATTACTGGAATTTAAGAAAAGTCCAAACTTGCCTTGTTTAACAAGCTCCTACATGTTCTTTCATGAATTCTCAGTAGTAATCCAACAAAACGCGTTAAAACGCACTCATAAACCTGTTAGTCAGACGTGCGCAAAGCGTGCACGTGTCTCCCAGTCAGAGAATGAAGGTTGGTATAGGCTGTTCTACTGCAACTTGGAGTTTGACTTTTGTTCTCTCCCCCCCCCTCTTCGTCGTGGTTAGATTCTGACAATCTTATCTAAGCAACCGAAATAAGTCCGGATATTCAGATTTGGTCAGTAACTTGCCACGTGTGCCGCGCTCACTCTGTTTTCGTCTGCTTTGGCATCAGAGGTGCGATAGGGGGAGCCGGGTCCCCCAAAAGTGAAGGTGGTTTCAGCTACCACTGGCCGGCCAAAAGTGAAGGTGGTAGTGTCGGACACTCACCTCCCAAAAACGTCGACGGGGGGGGGGGGGGGGAGGTGCGGGGGGAGGATAGAACGGACGAACGGAGCTATCTTTCTAGGTCTAACGTCGACCCAACGGCCCTCTTTAGGGCCACAGATACGATGAATATTAAAAATATCTATAAATTTTATTTATAAAAATTTAAAATAGACGTGTTTAGTAAATGGTGTATTTGGAAGTAGAAGTTTGTTGGACTGTACGGATTTTATTAAGCAAATTTTGTTATAACGTACAGCGAAGAAAGTAGATCGATCCAGGCAGTAACGGCCGAGAATCAGAATTTCGAATAAATAAATAGTGAAAAATCATGCAAAATTTCCACTGTTATAAATCTGTTGTTTGAAGATGTCAGCAGTTGCGACTTCATAGGTTTTAAAGAGTAAATGTTGCTCTATCAGCTAGTGAAGGAATCTGGTCGATTTAAGAGATAGTCGTTGAAAACCAGAGTTCTAAAACTTTACGCCATTTTTGCGTGTTTTTTGACTGTTGAGAGTTAAACTCTTATAAATCTTGAATGTGGAAGTGTATGATGTTGCGACTTCATAGGTTTTATAGAGTAAGGTTTGCCTTATCAGAATATGTCTTGTCCGTTCCGATCCATTGAACCACTTCCGAGATCCAGAGTCATGAAAAAGCAGGTAAAAAACAGCTTTTTGAACTTCAACAGTTCATAACTTCTTCAGGATTGCACGAATCATGTTGCGACTTCATAGGTTAGATTCTTCTCGTCAAGAGCTTTCAGATGATATATAATATGTGGGGGTTTCGCGCCTCTTACGGCATATGCCCGGGGGGGGGAGACTTTTTAGGCCAAAGTCTCCCTCGGCAGCCTCCAGCCAATACATTAAAATGGGCGAGGGGGAGACTTTGGCCTAAAAAGTCTCCCCCCCCCCCCCCGGGCATATGCCGTAAGAGGCGCGAAACCCCCACATATTATATATCATCTGAAAGCCCTTGACGAGAAGAATCTAACCTATGAAGTAGCAACATGATTCGTGCAATCCTGAAGAAGTTATGAGCTGTTGAAGTTCAAAAAGCTCTTTTTTACCTGCTTTTTCATGACTCTGGATCTCGGTGGTGTTTCAATGGATCGGAACGGACAAGACATATTCTGATAAGGCAAACCTTACTCTATAAAACCTATGAAGTCGCAACATCATACACTTCCACATTCAAGATTTATAAGAGTTTAACTCTCAACAGTCAAAAAACACGCAAAAATGGCGTAAAGTTTTAGAACTCTGGTTTTCAACGACTATCTCATAAATCGACCCGATTCCTTCACCAGCTGATAGAGCAACATCTACTCTTCAAAACCTATGAAGTCGCAACTGCTGACATCTTCAAACAACAGATTTATAACAGTGGAAATTTCGCATGATTTTTCACTATTTAAATATTCAAAATTCTGGTTCTCCGCCGTTACTGCCTGGATCGACCTACTTCCTTCGCTATACGTTATAACATAATTTGCTTAATAAAATCCGTACAGTTTTGCTAAGCTTTACTTCCAAATACACCATTTACTAAAAACCTTTATTTTAAATATATATGCCGCCGTATACATAGATATATGCTTTCAATAATCTTTTTTGCGTTTGTTTTGC